GTAGAGCAGCGGCGTATCTAGCCGAAGATCGTGTGTTCGAATCCCGCTCGTGCCATTGACTTTTTTATCTCAACTAAAAACCTTAATTAATTGTAATAACTGACTACTTTTTTCCAAGCATGGTTGAAATGTATATTTCTTAACTTTTCTGCATCTTGGAATCATTTTATACCATTTATTTTAGGACAGACTGAACCAGGTACCAAAATTAATATTCAGGTCGTGATCATAAAAATGTCTTCCGTCTTGACGTACACCTGCCTACTCTAATACTTTTTACGTTTACACTAGTAACAATAAAGGTAGAATTAAATGTAAGAATAACTTTTATTTTTCTAAACGAACAGAAGATTGTTTTCAACTGTTCAACTTTCTTCCACTGAAGAACAACCAAAGTCGATGCGTCAGAATCAGAAGAAAGAGAAACCGAAACCCACTTAATTAACCCGCGGAAGGATGGATTAAATCCGGATAATAGCTACCAGGTAATGGAGTGTCTATTTAGTGATCCATTCTGGATTAGCTTTTGTTTTTAATTAGATTTGTTTCCGAGACTTTCCCATTTTACTATTTAATGGGGTGTTAACACGTATCCCACTATTACCGATCGGAAACGTTTCTACACCGTTGATGATGAAAATAGAAAACAGGACGTGTACGCTATTAAATTGATTATTAAAATCAAATTTGTAAATAACGAATAATTATCCAAAACAGTGGATTTTTAAAGGAAAATTCTTCGGTTGATTTAAAAATTTGTTTAGCGTGTTCATATTAATATGTTAATTTATATAAATTTCTTTGTTATTTCTACCAAAACGTAAAACTTTATTGTTTTATTACATATTAAAATTGCTATATTAACACTTACATTAAAAAGAATTGACAATATTCTAACACAAATGCTGCTCATAAATGGTAAACATTTACAACCTTCACTTTTAAATAGCAATAACTATTAATACGAAGAATAAAATAAATTAATATTCACCGGGAGTAAACTAAAATTAACTTTCTTATATGAATATTGAAATTTTAACTGCAAAAATATCCGAAGTTCGATTGCCAAAAGTATATATTAAAACTATAAAATTGTACTTTTATTAAGAGACATGTTGACCTGCGAGGTTTCTGTACAGACAAGTGACAGTGCATTCATAACAAGAAAATAAAGTACAGTACATTTTATCTTACTATTTTACTTTGTAGGACTGTTGATTGGCACAACCTTACGAAATAAAGTTTGAAATTCTAAAAAATTTACCTCAAACTAGAAAAATGATATCAAAAGCAGCTATATTTTTATTGGCGTAAATTTTGCTTAAACTATATTTGTATTCGTTAAAATTTATAACCCCGCCTGTTTATGCATTCCTACGTATTTAGATTACTTATTTCAGTATTAAATTTTGTTTGACGTTGTTGTCAATTTCCATTCGTCGATTGGAAAATGCTACACCCATGGAGATGGTAAGTCTAACGTTCTATGATTTGATTCCTGGGATATCCTGTCTCGCCATTACTTTCGTGAAATTGATCCTTCTATGGACAATATGCTCCAGTGGAAGCTTTCCTCAGTTTTACAAAAGATAACAGTGGTTGACCCGGAGGAGTCTGTGAGGAGGGCTACGCAGTCTGAACACTTTCTTTTAGAGTCAAATATAGAATTTTGGCTGCAGTGCCTATAAATTGAATCTCTGTGAGATGACTGTTCAAGCTGAGAGTGGAGTACTATTTCTCAATTATTTGCCCTGGTTGAGGAAGGACCCACCCAGGAAAAGATGTTCTATGTTCAATTTAAATGCCAGGAAGGACCTTGATCATTTCCATTGTCCATGCCCTGAAATGGCCGAATTTCGACAGCTCTACGTGCGAAGCAGCTCCCCCGCTGGTCCAGCAATGGAGATGACTGTTCAAGCTGAGAGTGGAGTACTATTTCTCAATTATTTGCCCTGGTTGAGGAAGGACCCACCCAGGAAAAGATGTTCTATGTTCAATTTAAATGCCAGGAAGGACCTTGATCATTTCCATTGTCCATGCCCTGAAATGGCCGAATTTCGACAGCTCTACGTGCGAAGCAGCTCCCCCGCTGGTCCAGCAATGGAGATTTGACTTGCTCACGGTTCTGCAAACCTTTAATTGCTTGGGACAAAGGCCAGGGAAAACACGTACAACCTAATAAGATAGTTTAAGTAATAAGTTTTGCAACTCTGTTGGTTTTCAATTTTTCAAGATTAACTATGTATTACAGAGTGTAAAAAAAAAGAGTACGAATTTTATTTTAGATTTACCTATGCATTTCTTTTTTACTGTTAATTGAAATTCGCTGTAATATGACCATTGTAAAACAAATTAAATTGATGCGTAATTAATGGACTTCCAAACTGTTTTTTTCCATGCTTTAAATTTACTGCAATTATTTCGTAAACCATTACTTTTGTTAATACTAAATGTTTATTTCTTCTTCTTCATTACTTGTTTAAGCTACTAACTTGGTCTCAGGACTTAAACGGATAAAAAAATGACATCAAACAATGAACGCTGTCGAAGGTCAAAGGAAAAATGCAAACATCTAATCCAAACTAATTGACGGTTCGGCCTGAGAAAACCCATAGAATGAGTCTGAATAATAAAACTGTTGACTTTTATTCTTAATTCACAATTGTTTTAATATATAACCTCATTTTTCGATTAAAAGCGCTTTAATATTAAGAAAAAATTAGGTTTTATGCTGTAGTAGAGCATGGTGAGGTGAATTACGGCCATATACATAATTTATTGCTCAGGCATCTGTTTGATTATTATATCAGCGTAGTATCTTTGCAGATTAATTGCAATTCATAACCTTACTAAATATGTAAAGAAACTTATTAAAAGAGTTGCATTTTTTTATGCTTCCGATCTAAACGTCCAACCGTTTATTGAAGGGCAAATAAATCCTTAACTTGATTTTTGTTGAGAAATTATTCGTAATTTTGTTGTTGCGATTTTTACTCACGAATAATCTTGATTTCGGTATGGTCTCGAAGAAAAAAAAATTAATTCGATTATCTGCCAAACAGTCTACTTATTTTAAGGACATGATCAGGGTAAAATGACTTAAATATGCCTGCAAATGACTGAGTCTTCAAAAAGTTATTTTTGTTTTCAAAGAAATTTGAAACCATCTATTAAAAACTTAATTATGTCAGTTTTTAGTTATCTTTAAGAATAACAATTTAAATTGTTTTTATATTTCATACCAGACCGAGATCTAGATTATTTGTGAATAAAAAAGTGTCGATACATCTAACACTGTAATCAGAAAGTTGCGATTTTTATACAGAATGTGTTATTTATTTAGATGATTCTTATCTTAGTAAAAAACAATTTGTATTAAAAATAATATTTCTTGGAATGTTTTACCATAATGACATTCTTTTGTCAGGTACTGGCTTGGCATTGCTATTGCAAAAAAATATCAAAAATCGTGAATTTTAGTATAATTTTGTTTCGGTGTAGTTTGCACGGATTATAGAAATTTTGCTCTATCTTAATCTGATATTCGAAATAATGACACATTATCCGCCTAAACTGTGAAAATCAATGATCGGCTCTTTGAAGAGAGAAAAAAAGCAGATAATAGGCACCTGTCTCAACTGGCTTGAATTTTACGACACGATCCGCCGTGTGAACGGTTGTCGAACCCCTTCAAATTGAAGGAAACGTTCTTCCGTAAAGGACGATTTCAGTCAAATTTCCAAAAAGACTGAGTCTGTGTCCTTTTTTCCCAAAATTGCCCTGGTTTTGAGGCAGGCGGAGCAGACCGACCTCATTCTATTGTCCAGTAACCGAATCGTCGCAGTTAACCAGACCACGTTAAAAATTTGGATTTTTTATGGGTTTTTATTATCCATTATAATAAGATCGTAACTTTTTTTCGATATGACATCAGGACGGTCAATTTGCAATAGTACTTGCACGGCTGAACGTTTACAGCTGATAGAGATTACGCTTCGGAGATTTTATTTTTATTTGATATCGTAAACATTTTATACCACTGACGAGTTAAGGCCAGGTGAATTGTATCGAGACATTTTTATGTCTTTCTGTTCAATAAAGATCAACTCGTTCCTGTACTATCGTGCTACGAAATTTCAATGTTGTTTTGAAAATTTTAATATTTAAACAGACATTATTAAAATGACAATAACCAATATTGTATTTCTCTACTCGCGTTGAAAATGGGAACATGTCTACTAAGATAGATCGAGTAAAAGTTTCAGCCTTTATTTCGTGTAAAAGGTTAATCACATTATTAACCTTCGTTTTAAAATAAAGTTGCATACTTAAATGTTCGTTCAGCAATGCAGATTAAAAAACATGGGTTTTTTATGTTTGCCATACATGCCTCACAAAAATCACAATATTAATATTAATTTAGTAATTTTTAGTTCATTTACGACAAACTTTGGTTGTTTAAAGCACCACTCTTTGTAATTTGGATTAATATAAAGAATGATTTTATACATTAATTTAATTGACATATTATCACGATAGAAACAAAAAATTTGTTTATTTACACAGTTAAGATTTAAATCACTTGAAAATTTCAAATATACTTTCAAAACTTCCAAAATTTACTAATTATGTCTCAAAAGTATAAAAAATACTAAAGGTTAAAATAAAAGGATATTTATTTATCTGCCTGTTACTTTACATTTTTGATTGTTAACTATTTAAATTGAGCTAATAATACGCTGTACAATCAGATTTATTATATGTTAACTTGTTTCTTTTTCCTTTTATTTTAGCTTTTTAGCTCAATTAGCACGACAGCTCGACAAAATGCAGAGTTTTGAAGATAGCACTTTATATATGTATTTTTAATAAGATCTAAACGGGAAATTTCTTTTCTTTTGCGTTTAACAAATTTCTAATGGATTTCAAATTTATTTGTTCTTTTGGTAAAGTAGTTTTTGAAAAATTTTATGTAAAGTTAAATCGTGGAGTCTACTTACATCTTCGACAGCGAGGAAGTCTGAATCTTGGCGGGCATCCCTTACCAAGGCTGTAAGGGTGAGTACGATGACGAGGGTGTTGACGGCGAGGGAGACGAGGCACAGAGCGAGATAAAGGGTCAAATAGAGGGAAGAAGACCGTCTCGAGAGGCACGTGTTCAGAGTGGCCGCGGTGCCGAGTGATCCCGCGAGAAGCGAGACCATACCGCCCCACAGGCCGGCGCCCAGCCTCGACATGCTGACATCGTAGACGGCACACAACACACCGAAGACGAGCATGAGCAGGCCGGATACGACCTGCAGGTTGGATATGAGCAGGAGGAGATTTGTCTCGCGATAGGTTCCATCGGCAGAACTGAGCAGGGTCTTTTCGCTTGAAGGGCTTTTGGCAATCAGGGAAGGCTTGCCCCCTTTACTGCTTCGCATCGTAGAATCCATCAAGGATCTCGCAGCATAGCACTCACGGCAACAGCACTCCTAAGACTGGCGAGGGCCGAAGAGATCGCAGCTAGCACCGGCCCCACCGCTACCTCCTCCTCTCTCCGCGCTTCTTTTCTTCCCTTGCCTGACACACATTCTTCTACTGACACTTTCCATTACCTCTTCTAATCGTCTCTATAAACCCCAAAATTCCTAACACCTTCGTAATACGTCATTAAATTTGAAGACTTGCCATTAAGGTAATCATGGTAATTCCAAGGTATCACTTAAGTTAATTCTATCATGAAGAAATTGCTAAACATTTCGTTTTAGACCTTTACTTTATATAATTTAAAACAAATAGAAAAGAAAGGGGGAGAAGGGGAGGGAGAGAGAGAGAAAAAAAAGAGAGAGAGAGAGAATGAATGAAATTCTGGCGTTTATTAGAAACATAAAATGCACCGATCGTTAAATGCTTAACCAACAGCACGTTTCATTTTTAAATTATTTAGAGTTATTTAAAATTAATATGATTTATGGTTTTTAAATTGGATGTATTTATTTTACAGGAAAGAAGTAAAAAGTTGAAAATCAGCTTCAGTAGTCACGAAAAATGCCCTTGAACTTTATGAAATCGACATTTAAGTTCTGTCTACTCTGACCAACCCGGCTAAGTCCTTGATCTCGTGAACTTGTAATGTACCAAACGGTCCACAAATCACCTGGGACACCTAAGAGGTGAATTCCAACCTGAGACATTCGGTTGTTCCCTGGCACGACCGATTATATGACTAGTTTACCCTGACTAATTTGATGTTAAACTTAATTATTTATTTTTAATTTTCAACTGTAAATCTCCAGTGTCTGAGAAATAGCAATACGACGCAGCAAAAACTTCATGCTACTTACTAAAAAAACTGTACGAAAATATTGACTAATAAGTTGTTTACTCAGTTCAAGTTTTATTATTTACAAATATTTTGCAACCTTTAAAAAATAAAGAAGGAAATCAAGGAATTAATTAAGCGGGAACACAAACGATCCAGAAGAAGGTTCATTTTGAACAAGATATTGACGTCAATAAATTTAACAAAACATCACTTTGTGCAAAATAAAATATTTTTTCTTATAGAGTTATTGGAAACCCACACATACGACAGATTGTTATTGTTTTTATTCTTTTTATCCCAGGAAAGGAAGAATAGGAAAGTCTAGAGATTTTTCGGACACGTCAACGCCGGAAATGCCAAATTAAAATTATCCACTAAAAAATTAAAACCCGCCTTTTTTATCGTCAGCAAACGTTGATCGCTGTATTTCTATTTGCACGAACATTTTTATGGCAGACTGACACCAAAACCTGCCTGATATTTGACAAGTTAATGAGCAATAACACAAATAAAATGAGAGAAATAACAACTGAAGGAATTTTTAAAACAAAATTCATAAAACGACAATTTTTTTTTAAAACCTGGGCAATATTTCATAATTTAAAATTATTACATGCCCCTCAAAATAATTTAAAATGATTTGATATAAATTTTCTCTACTCGTCGTTCGCGCCTTAAATAATTGTGATACAGTTTTGCCGAACCTGACTGTGTTGCCGGTTTAGTATGTCCGAGCGCCGTTTTCGTGAATTCGCCCATAATTACGCTTATAAAGTGGTTTTGCTCATCTCTGATCCTTCTATTCTCGCTATTTTTCAATTTAGTTTTGATCCTTCTATTCTCGCTCTTCTTCACTTTAGTTTTGATCCTTCTATTCTCGCTCTTTTTTTCAATTTTAAAGATGTATAACACTAAACATTAAAATGTATTAACATTAAAATTACGTATTTCAATTAATTAATCTTTATGTAAGATATTGGTTGAGATAAAAAAGTCAGTATCACGAACGGGATTCGAACCCACGATCTTCGGCTACATACACCGCTGCCCTACCACTTGAGCTATCGTGACTTCGATCCACTCGGACACCAACTTCTCATCTCAACCGCAACTTTTGAATTTTCCCTACTTTTTGCCATTTTTCAAATGTCGTGTAATCGGATTAGATTCTCGGCAACAATTGAAATGGCCACGGGGAGCGTTAAGTGAAGTATACTTCATTTTAATTAATTAAATTCACTAATTTCGTAGTCCGATTGACCAAATAACTTTTTTCAATTAATTAATCTTTATATATGGCATTGGTTGAAATACAAAAGTTAGTGTCACGAGCGGGATTCGAACCCACGAACTTCGGCTAAATACACCGCTGCTCTACCACTGGAGCTATCGTGACTTCTATCCACTCGGACACCAACTTCCCATCTCAACCTACCTTCCGAAATTTTCCTCCTTTTTGCCATTTGACGCCTCAAGTACTCTTCATTGCCAGCCTTCCATATCGGATGAGCGACAATTGGAACCTAAACAATATAATTATTATATATAGCAACTAACAATCAATTTTTAAAAATTAAAATTTATGGAAGGAGGGTATTTATTGTTCGAGTTTTACCCAATCACCCTAGTTGACTCTATCTAACTAGATCGATTAAAATAACACTTATTTTATCGATTATGATCACGGAGTCTATTTTTTTAATTAAACCATTTCTCTTTTTACAATTGTTCCGCTGCTATATAAATTTGATTTTTTGAAATATCATTTGAATTTAGTAGGACAAAGATATGCTTTTAATTTTGGGACAGTGATATGTCAGCCGATACCAGCCAAGAAATGAGATATTGAATCGAAGCAAATGATCTTAGATTAATCTTAAATCTAAAAACTAATTGTTGCTAAATTTGATTCTTTTTCTATTTCTATGCTTTCTCCACCATAAAACCGTGGTTCATTTCTGGCAGTACTTTTTTATTTATTTTGGCAAATAGCCACATAGTACTAGTTCGAAATGTTCCACTTTGACTCAGTAGTACTACAATGTGTCCAAACAGATAATTATTTTTAGCAAAGTTAATCATTTAAATGTGTAAAAGTGTTAAAATAAAAAATGAGGATAGAAGATTCTGCCTTAACTAAGACAATTAAATGAATTTCCCCTTTCCACCAATTTCAATAATTCAGTGTGCGGGTAGTATGTTTTAAACACCTTCACGATTTTGTTGTGTAAAAAATATACAATGCGCTTTTTATAGCTTATATATAATATATTTCTACCGTCCTCTTCTTTGAGCCACACTCTTTTCTATTGCCTACCCAAACACCTTACCTCCAATTTAAATTTAAACGTAAACCATAAATGTCAAAAAATAAAACATGAACATTGGCAAGCTTTTATAGAGTATTTTAAAGTTTATTAACAGTGATCATTGAGTAGCAACTTGCGTTTCCGAGCTATCATGATGAAACGATACAACGAATTTGCCGATCAGAGGACGTTTCTCTCTAAATGTCTGATTTTCCACTCTCTCCTTGTTTATCCGGTCGAAATGCGGAGGAGCTCCATCCTGGCGAAACCGGTCGGAAAAGTTCATCAACGAGTACCGGTGGTGTAAACAACGTTTCCTTATCCACTCTCACAACTTCCCTGACAACCTCAAAAGAAAACTAATTTATGCCATGGTATAATCTTTCATTAATCTTATCTATTGTTTCTTTTCAATGACTGTTGTTTTTATTAATTAAATAATTTGTTAATAACATATTGATGATTAGTTTTTAAAAAAACATGAGGCGAGACTTTGTCTTGGAGTAAAGCAATCGTGTTGGTAATTTAATACATTTCCATTTTTGAAACCATACTATTTTTAAGAATTATGTATCTTCCAATGTGCTGTTTTCCAGGTTCTTATCAGCAATTACTCTTCCATCAAACTAGTTCTAATAGACATATTAAAATTATATAGTTTTTCACTGTCTTTCCTTAAGGTTCTTCAAGGATGTTGTATAATTTTTTTCCCAACTGTCAAAACTTTTGACATAAATTTGCTAATCGACAGGAGATTTCTCACAGCCTTGCGACACTTCAAGCTCTGCTATTTGTTTGACTCAAGAACCTTGCTAAATCGAACAGTGAACCCCATTAGAACTAAAAGATCCAGGTTTTCAAACGATGTGTGACCCCTGCGGCACGAAAAAAAATTGTTGCAAATTTAGAAGCACAAAGGGCCATAAAACCCAGACGGCATCAATCTTCCAGGACGTGACATTTAAAAGATGCCTGTTATTAAGGCCTAACGAAGGAAAATAAACCCCAGTCACCGGAGTGGTCTCATGCTTTTGTGATCGACGGCTATTCTCTTGACACTAGAAAAATAATGTTTAAAATATAGATCGAATTTTGTACAATCGTTGTTGATCAACTTTATTCGATCCTTTTATGTAGCACATAAATAAGCTTTTTCTTTTAAATAAGTAGCAGCACTAATTTATTTTCGATGTAAAAAATATGTCGAATAAAAACTAATCACCAAGGTTGTCGATAATAAATTAGCTTAACAAATTAATATAGTAAAATATATACATATCAAAATTGAATATTTGAAATTTCAAACATCTACAACTTAATATAAAAGTTTGACCTATTATGTCGAAATATATACATCCCATCCCATTTATAAAAGCATAAATAATTATTGCATGCAATAAATATAAAATGATACTACTATCAATAACAATAAATAGGTTATCTCTAAATGCAGTATACATTCAAACATTTTTTTGATTTATCACAAATTATATCACAGTCGTTTTTTCTATAATTAGTTATTTTTACTTTTTTTTAAATCGATTTTTCAAACCATGCCACAATTTCTCTTCCGGGTTAAACTACTAAGTGAGTTAAACGATTGCACTCAAAAATAAATCTTTGCAAAAAAAAAATCTGCAAGAAGGAATTCCAAAGGGTATAAAAATATTGAATTTTAAATTTGATATGGCAAAAATCTGTTTGAAGTGGTCTCCTATTACTTTCCTTAATTAATCAATTATCGGTCTTTCAGGCACATCGTTGCTTAGTGGCAAGTTACAAGAGTAGTGGCAAGATAAAAATAAAGTTAAATTACACATTTATAATATATTGGGCGCGTACATACAGAAATGTGGAATTTCGAATTTAGGAGGGCTTCTGCTGCGGCGGGTTCTGGAAGTAAAACGACGAGAAAAACATCAAAATAAAATCGGGGAGAGAAGTAAAATAGAAACCAGGGAACGAAATGGACAAAAAGTGCAAAATGTGATATTGAAAGGGTAAATATGCATCCTGCTTTGAATTTAACATTTTTCAAAAAGTTTCTTGATTCTATTGAATTTTTTACGTTATAGACAAACAGATTCGAAATATGTTTGAAAGGTTCAATAATAGAGTGAGAGTTTTAATGTGTTATAAAATGGAGAATTAATGGTGCAAATAACGGACCTAAATTTGTCTTTAATAATTTTATATGTACCAACTTGGCAAAAGACCAGTATAGGACGTGTATTGTTTTCTCTGCCACATGGATATTAATTTTTGTTGTTGTACAATTTACTAGTTATATTATTTTTAGTAGTCTGTAGACAGCTAGTTGGATCTTTTTGTACTTCTTTGTAGTAAGATGTACAAGAGTATACATTTTTTCTATGTGGTCATTGCAGTTAACATTTGTTTTGTTTTACCACTGGGAACCACTATAATGTCTTATTCTTCCTACAAAATCTTTTCTTTTTTTTGTGTGCAAAATTTGCTATATTATCGAACCATTTATTGTTGCTGATGTATCTGTCACTTGTTGTACACATATCTCTAATATAGCTGAATAGAACTGAAACTCATAAACAATTAAACAAAATTAGTATGACTTACAGCACACAGCTGTTAGCTGTCGAAGTAAAAAAAAAACTACATAGAAAATAAGCAAACATTAAAAAAATAGATTAAGCAAAAAAGAATTCATTTTGGTACATTACATGAAAACTTATACAATTTGCATGTTGTTGCATGTTCTCCGCATGAAAGAATTCCAGAGAGTATGTATGTTGTATAATCTTCAGAGATGGCGATTTCTTCGGTTTACCGGGGAAAAAATTATTTACTAGTTTCTAAATGGGCTGTAGAATAGATTATAACGACGTATAAATTAAAGAGTTATGATTCGGAGGATTGTTCTATGAAAATGTAATTTTTATTTGTTAATACATTTTAATGTTTAATGTAATACACCCTCAGTAGGTTGAAACTAAATTGAAACAAGGGCGAGAGTAGAAAGAGCAGAGATTAATTTGGACAAAACAATTTTATTATTGTAATTATAGGCGAATTTGTTATCCGTTTAAGAAAACGGCGCTCTGACATACTAAACCTGAAACACAGCCAAGTTCGGCAAAACTGTATCTTAATTATTTAAGGCGCGAGCGACGAATCGTGATCAGAAAATTTATATTAAAATCACTTTAATGTAAATTTAAAATTATTACTTAAATGTAAATGTAAAATTATTTTGACGGATATGTAAAAATTTTAAATTACGACATTTGTCCAGGTTTTTTTGTTTTTTTTTTAACTTTTGTTAATTTATGCATTTTGTTTTTAAATATTTTTTCAGTTGTTATTTCTCCCATTTTATTTGAGCAATTTCCCAAAAAGCTATCAAATACCAAACAGGTTTTGATGACAGTCTGTCATAAAGATATTCGTACAAAATTTTTTTATAATTTACTAATTATATTATTGTTAGTAATCTGTAGAAAGCTAGTTGGTTCTTTTTGTTCTTCTTTTAAATGTATCCTTTTGATCGAGTAGAGTATACATTTTTCCATGAAGTCTTTGCGGTTAAACAACGCGATTTGCTTTGCTTTATCGCTGAGAATCACTATAATGTCTTTATTCTTTCTAAAAAACCTTTTAGTTTTTTTTATGTAATATGTACTATACGGTCAAACTATTTATTGTTGCTAATATATCCGTTAGTTGTTGTATACAAATCTCTAATCTAGCTGAGTATCATAAACAATTATGGCTTACGCTGTTAGCAGTCGAAATGAAAGTCTTACATAATAAAATAAACAAACATTAAAAATCAGATTAATTTAAACAAATTCACTTGGTACATTGCATGAAAACTTATACTATTTCCAACAAGAATCCCAAAGAGTATGTAAGATGTATAGAATGTATATATGTATGTATGTAAAGAGTATGTATGTATGATCTTCATCAGAAATGGCGATGACGTCAAGATGAAATGCTCCGAGAAAATAATTGAAATTGCTTTGGTTTACCGAAGAAAAAATTATTTACAAGTTTATTCATTATAAATGGACTGTAAAATAGATTATAACGATGTGTCAATTAAAGAGTTACAATTCTGAGAACGTTCTATGAAATTCTAAATTTTATTTGTTAATACACTTTAATTAATCCTTCTGAGTTTAGTGATCATAATTATTATTTAAATTAAGCAGTAATCGGGATCCCGCTCGTGACACTAGCTTTTTCATCTCAACCAAGTCCTTAGATTTAAAAAAATTAATTGAAATACAAATTAATGTTTAGTGTCACGAGCTATGACACGTTCACCAATTTAAAAATTAAAAGGAAAAAGAGTCTGAAAAAAGTACCAGAGAAGTTTGGACAAAACCTTTTTATTATTGTAATTGCGGGCGAAAACGGGGCTCGGACATACTAAACCCGCAACACAGCCAGGTTCGGCAAAACTGTATCGCAATTATTTAAGGCGCGAACGACGGAGTCATGATCAGAAAATTTATATTAAAATCGCTTTAAATTATTTTGACGGAAATGTGAAAATTTTAAATTATGACATATTGCCCAGGTTTTTTAAACTTTGTCATTTTATTTATTTCATTTTTAAAATTCCTTCAGTTGTTATTTCCCCCATTTTGTTTGTGTAATTTCCCATTAACTATATTAATAGTAGTATTAATATAGTCTTCAAATGCCAAGAAGGTTTTGACGACAGTCTGTCATAAAGATATTCGTGCAAATTTTTTGTATAGTTTATTAATTATGTTATTGTTAGTAATCTGTAAAAAGCTAGTTGGATCTTGTTGTGCTTCTTTATATATATCCTTTTGATCGAGTAGAGTATACATTTTTTTATGTAGTCTTTACGGTTAAGCTATTTTAGTCAAGTTAGTTAAGCTTTCATTTTTTGTGCAAAATGTGCTATACGGTCCAACTATTTTTATTGTTGCTAATGTATCCGTTAGTTGTTGTATACAAATCTCTAATCTAGCTGAGTAGCACTGATGGTTTACAGCATAAAGCTGTTAGCTGTCGAAATAAAAGAACTAAATAGACGATAAGCAAACATTAAAAAACAGATTATGAAAAAAAGAATTCAATTTTGTAGATTAGATGAAAAACTTCCACTATTTGTATATTGTTGAATATTCTCTGTATAAAAAATTGCAAATAGAATAAAATGTGTAATTTTGAATTTGGGAGGGCAAAAGTTTGCTTGAAGTAGTTTCCTCTCACTTTCCTTAATTAACGAATTATCGGTCTTTTAGGCACGTCATTGCATAGTGGCATGTTCCACGATAAAAATAAAGTTAAATTACATGTTTATAACATATTGGGCACATAGATGTGTGGTTAGAAATGTGGGATTTTGAATTTTGGCGGGCTATGCTGCGGCGGATTCAGGAACTAAAACGACGAAGAAAAAACGCGAAAATAAAATCGAGGAGTGAAGTTAAAATTAAACCGGGTAAGGAAATGGATAAAAAGTGAAAAATGTGATATTTTGGGTAGTAAAAAACAGATCTCGGTCCGATTGTATTGTCCGGGCTGCAACTGGGGCCCTACTCACTGGCGCGATCCCACTACTGCAAACCACGGGGACTTTTGGCTGCTGAGTTTCCCCCCTGGCCCGGTTCGCCCCTCCTTAGCAACCTGGACATTTCCGGCTCCCCGGAAACAACCATGTTGATGATCAGCTTAGTGCGGACGCCTGGTCAACGTAGAAACACCCAACCACAGTGGTTCCCGGACTCAAACCATCCTCGAGACCCGACCTCCAAGTAGCTGGATTACAGGAGCACGCCACAACTCCCAGTCGAAATCTACTCCTACTATTTGGGTTCATAATCTTAGACTCAAACCGATTTTCGACCATTTGGGCGGTTTTGTCTTTGTAATATCCGTATCCAGCATTTTTAAATAAATTTTTTTAATAATAATAAATCTATTTTATGCCAATTTAACAAGGAAAAACCTCTAAAATGCCTAAATTTCGAACGGATCTGGATTACAGCACACAACAGGCGCATGCGTGACTTTTTCCCGCTCATTTTTCAATTAATACTCGTTTATTGATGTTAAAATTTATATATTTATAATAATAAATGTATTATTATTTTTATTTTGTTATTATATTTTATATATTTATTATTTCGTAAGAATTTTTGGGTTGTTCATGCAATTATAGTTCAGCGAGGAAAAGCTCATTTACGCTGCCGAAACAATCAAACTGGATGGGAACTAAACACTTTGAGCCCAAATATAATTAATTAATTAACTAGAGAAGGGATTGACTTCGTTATCCCGGAATCACTCTTTACAACATACTATAAAGTCCCAACAGACTACAAAGGAGAAGAATTCAGGAGGACATCGGAAACAAGGATGTGGTATACCAAGACAAATGAAGGAACTGGATCAGGCATTTTTTGTACAAGCATAAAATAAGAGCAATCAGACTCAATCTTTTCCTGCTCATTTTCAGTTAAATTTGTTTTCTGTTTATTTTAAAACTTTATTTTAATGATTTGTTAAATTCGTGAGGAGCGGTCAAGAATGAGGTAGTTTAGAAAAACACCTTTTTCATTTTTTTGCGAACGTTTTGACCTTTATTCACGTCATCATCAAGGCTGATAGTACAGCTGTGGCCAATTAAGGGGGATTAGGTTTAGAGTTTAAAAACTTCATATATTACAGGATTTCTATGGTTTTGTGTAATGGAGATAATGTATTTGAAGTCCAGATGGAATGTATGAACATATACAAATAGCATTCAATTTTATTTTATTTCTTCCACAAGAATCACTACATTTTGCAGTTTCTTATAATGTAGAGAAGACAAAAATTATAAATAAATACACAGAACAGTTGGTAAATTTACACAATTTAAATTACAAATTTCAATGTTAATACCAATGTGTCAAACAAAAAAAAAACTTAACACAATGATAAAATTACAAAGCAATCATCTGGATTGGTTTATTAAATCTAAAAAGATCAAACTTGTTTCGTTTATTACAATTATTTAGATTAATTTCAACTAGAACTCTACTGGTGCCGATTGTGCAAATATAAAAATGTTCCACTATGCCCGTTCACTTCTTTCTTCATGCCCATGTACCACTGCTTGAGATTGGTCTCCCGCAAGACGTCCTGAAAGGCTTCACAACCCTCGATGCTGCTCAGGACCCCATAGACAGCCAAGTCAGACAAGTCTGGCCTATTCCCTCCGTGATATTTTTCATCCCTTTTTTTTAGCTCGTCTAACCAAACATTGCACTCGTCATACAGCGATTGTCTCACATCTTCTTTAAGATGATATCTGTAAAACATCCAAATTTGTGGTTCACTTACTGATATAATTATTTCCATATTTTTTCTACAGTATGCCCTCTTTTTAAACTAGTTACTGTCAACATTTTAATTGTAAAAAAATATTTTTTTTTAACAAATTTAAAAGTTTCAACAATTTTATTAAAATTGATTTTTGTAATGACTGCTTGTAAACCCATTGAGTACAATCAGATTTCTTCAATGCGTTTGTTTATGTTGGGGTTTTTCATTAACAAAAACAACCAATCTCTTACAGATTCACATTTTCAAAGATTTAACAGCTGTCCAGAGAAACTAGGGGTCCAGATCCAGAATTTTCGGGTCCCAGTCCAGAGTAATTTCTGAGTCATGGAGTCATTTATAGACCCAGTCCAGTCATTTCTGAGTCATGGAGCCAGTTTTGAGCACTAGTCCAGTCATTTCTGACCCCCATAATTTAACAAGGAAGCACATAAAGCTTTGAATATGCATTAAATGTGAATCTAGTTGGTCAAGATTGGCACAGCTCACTTTTTTCTAAAATCTCAAAAACATAAAGGTTAATTGTTTGATAATAAATTTATTTAAAAATTAGCATCCAACTATTGATTTTTGGTGGCAATAAACTGATCAAATTAAAAATAATAAAAAAATAATAAATTAGAGTATGTATTTCAAGGGTAAAAAAGTCAGTAGAAACTTTTTTTTAAACAAATTTTTATTAAGACTTTAATATTTTATTATCATATCATTTGCATCAATTATGACAGTCTTTGTGGCATCGTGGATACAAGTTTGTGGGTTATTTCAGGTCCAATTAGATCCCTTTCTTGAAATAAAAGTTTGTAGCTAATGTTTTAAAGACATTTTTTCATACATTTAAATCCAGCAAGTAGCAGAAATGTTCTATGGGATTTATATCCGGTGATTGAAGTAGAATTTTGATTTGCCTTTGAACATTATAAAGCAACTATTCCTACCTTTTATTGGCAGTGTGCTCGGGATTGTTGTATAGGAAGATAAGCATGCCCCTGATCCCTATCTTTTCAGTGCAAAATGTCATTCTTAATACCTTCAATGAAACTTTCCAACACCTTTCCATGACAAGCAGTCCCACACTGAAACGTTCCCACCACCATGTTTTATTGTTGCCCGATATTAATCATTGCAGCATTTGTTTTTCCTCATATAAATTTGCAAATATTGAACTTGCTTTGGAAACATTACGTTTTTCCAAAACTATAACAGATTTGTGAGTGACCTCACTGATAAATAGTTTCTTTCTTTGAACTCTACCATAATAATTAAAACTGTGAATTACATTCCTTACTGTACGCTGAAAGTTGTGTTAGAAATTGATGCAACCTCGGAAGCTAGAGGCAGAAATAAAGGATGGTTTTGTCACTATTTTGTTAATTCTCTTTTTTTCTTTGAGAAAACTTTTGTGGCCACCTAGAATGTCATTTGTTTAGGACTCATCTTATCTCCTGTTGTTTAACTGAGCTGGAACTCATATGTAGTTGATTTGCAATGCCACAATAATTCAATCAAAAGAATGCAATAATCTTGTATTTTAGCCATTGTTATTACCACTGTACTGGTCAGAAAATAATGTAAAATAAGATGTTTGATCTTGTTTGTTTATTTCAGATTGAAATGTTTAAAATTAAGGATGATCTTTTACATAAATTCAAAATTACACAAGAAACAACGATGTCAATAATTTTTTGAACCTTGAACTTCACACTCTTATTTATTTTATCTTATTTTTATTTGCTCTCGTTATTGCCACTAATTAATAGTTGGATGATAGTTTTTAAATAAATGTATTATCAAACAATTAACTTTGCAAATTTTTTGGATTTAAAAAGCAAGTGGGTGTGCGTATACTTATTTGACCCACAAGAGCTTGATTTTTTAAGTTCATAAAAAACCTTAACATTCAGGACAACCGCATTAACAATCAAATAAAAAATATTCTCTTTAATATAAATAAGCGCTTACTTATTTTTCAATTTTTTTCCTATTAACCACATAGCAAAAGCACCAACATAAATGACAAACTGTCTTTCCAAGGTGGAAAAGTGCTGGTCCCAATCACCAACCTTTTTAAATAAAAGACAATTAATAATGGCATAAGAGAGTAATTAAATATATGGAACTACTTAACAAATGAAAACCATTTGAAAGCATCAAGAGCTTCATTCGTCGTCCTATACACATTGGGAGAGAGTACATGAACCAGTACATCATCAGCCCATTTCCTCCATTTTCTCTCTTCCCTGAAATAAAAAAATGTCAAGACAGTCAATGAAAAAACTTTAAATTTTGATTTTACTTACATTTCAACTTGCTTAGCGTACTCGTCTACGGCGCTACCATTCATAAGAAAGTATCGATTCAAAATCTCCGACTTGACCGTGCCATCAGGTTCTGAATAAGATATCGATGGATAGAATTGAGATATATCCTGGATATTACCTGCATTCCTGTCATTCAGATAAGTCGCTAGTGCAGATATTATCATGCTGCTGTCGTTCAATTGCTAAAAAAAGCTAATTAGTTTATAATCTCCAAAGGCGATATTTCTCAATATACTTACAATATAGCCATTTTTGGCTTTAACCAATACAATTGGTACCTTTTTGTAGTCAGTCCACTTTATCTGCTGCCTCATGACAGGATTGACCTCGACCACCTTGTATGAGAGCCCGTTATAGTCTAAAAAAGCTCTCACCTTACAGCAAAATGGGCATGTCGGGTATTGAAACAGTACTATTTCCAAACCGGAATCATCGTATGGATACGTGACCTAGAAAATAAGGAAACATCTCAACACAGTTCAAATTAAGAAAATCTTATTATGAGGTCTACAAGAACTTGATCTGACCCCATTATCAAAGTTTGTCAATCCACAATGGATTTGTCTGTCAGACACATTTCATTATGCTTACCGACCAAGATGGGAAACCTGCCAGGGGATCAACTCAGTACAAACTGTTATTTTAGTAATCCCTTAACACTCGCGGTTTTGACATTTGTGGTTTTCACTATTCATGTATGAAAAAATGAGGAAAAGTTTTGACATTTGCGGAAGTCCGATTTCTTTACTTGCGGGGAAAAAACAGTTTTATAAACAATTTTATTTTCTTATCAAAAATAATTCTTTAAAAAATGGATTGGAAGCTCTAATTGATTTTCAAAAAACTTTTGACTGCTTACAACATACTGTTCCTTCTTTCTTCTCAGTTTTTTATTCACTCGAAGTTGTTTCGCAAAATGCCATCTCTCCCAAAACGGAAAAAAAGTCCTGACCCTTGGTGAAAGAATAACAATTTTTATGCAGGCTAAAGCTTTTCTTCAAAACAGCTCAGGGAAATTTTAACCTTGATGGGCCAACTTATTAAAAAAGCAATGGATTTTGACCCATCTGTAAATCGAAGTTTCAAGTTTAAAAGGATGTTGAGGCCACTTCAAATCCTTATGTGGAAATTCTTAAAGAAATTATTTATCCGGCGAAAAAATAGTTACTTCTTTCCTTGCACATCAAAAATACAAACAATGACAACAATTAACATGTTCAAACACCGTTATGTCTTCTATTACATTTATTTTGAATAAAATTTTGTTTTATTTCTAAATTGTATCTTAATTTTTTCCATCATGGAACATAACCCTCCTTATAGAATAGGAAAATAGACACAACATTCACGGATTTAACATCCATGGCAGTTTTCTGGAACCAAACACCTGCAAATTTTATGGGATTACTGTACTATAAATTAACACGCTAATAACTGTTTAGAACAGTGGTTGTAAATAATAAAAAAACAGTTACTATCATTGTGGTCAGTTAATATTCCTTTTTCGGTATGCCACTGTAACACAAACATCTGAAGATGGCGAAAAACATAACTAGTATGACAGACCAAAATTATAAGAAACGGCTAAACTGCAGGTTTATCACCCAGCTGACCGCATGAAGAAAGATCAATAATTTTTATTATTTTTTATATACTATCTCTCAGTAATTTCTATGTAACAAACTGATGAATAACAAGTGATTGTTTCTTTTAACATGAATCCATTGGTATGTCAGTATACCTGCGTGCTGACATGCACTATCATCAGTGTACACATTGTCAATCATCAAAGCAGGTCAATATTGATCTGTGGTTGGTGGCTACTGTGAGAATGATTATACCTGTCTGGAGATCTTGACATTAGGAAACTCCTTGATAACTGTTAAAGCCTGGTCGCCCTTGTTGAGTATGACCTCTTTTGTACTATTATTCGAGAGTGTAAAATATGCTCCGACCCCGACGCCGGCTGCTGTCGCTGCGAGCAGTTTTCTCCATTTCCTGCTCTGAGGAGGGGCTGCTTGCCGCGGCTCTGTCTTGAACGTTCGCAGAGCCGGACTTTTTCCTACCAGAGGTGAAATAGCCTTCTGCAGGCGGAACAAACGAGTACACCGAAGAGCGCACATTCTCAAACTCAAATCACATAGCAGAAGGACATGGGTTTTGTATACTGACTACAGACACGCCGTTTTATTCTATTTCTGTATTTATATTAACGGTAGTATTTTTTTTTAACTACAGTCCTTCATCTCCGTTACCTTCTTTACATACCACGTGATCATAGAGTCAGCAGATACTCAGATGTACATTTGCGTTATGCCATCTACAGTTGCTAACTCCATTATCAATGACATCATTAAATTATAAATAATATAAAAATGTTTTAGCATGTTTTAACTAGTTTTTATTTTTCAGCTCCCTGTCAAAATGTTAGTTACGTGTTTGAGTTCTGATGTATTAGACTATTAACTATTAGACCTCCGAAACCGTTCCAGAAATGGTACACAAAATGAAAAAAACAATCTTTTTAAAAATGATGAAACATCTAAAATAACGAAAAAAATCAAAAAGTAGTTGTTTTAACTGTTTTTTCCAGCTCCCAGTTGAGTTTTTCGATATTTTAGATGTTTCATCAGTTTGTAAAAGTTTTATTTTCCATTTTGTCTACAATTTCAGGAGAGAACTGTATTTGAGATCTAGTAGAAATGGTCAAATACATCAAAACCTAAAAAAACGACTAACATCTCGCCCGGGAGTTGATAAACTAAAAACTAGTTAAAACAACTACTTTTTCAATTTTTTCGATATAATCAATCCACATTAAATTATTTCAGCTACTTTATTTTGACATTAGTCTTTTTGTTTGGTTTTATTTTTTATACAAAATAATATAAAATTCTGTACATGTTTAATTTTATAACGTTCCAAAATGTGTCTACTTGTTTCATTGGAGGAGTTAAAATGATTAATATGTCTGTCATAACAATGTAATAATAAATTTGTATTACAAAAAGAAATACAATTAAATGTAATTGTGTATATTTGTATAGCAAAATATATTGTAAATTGTATTTTGGGCATCACTTTAAATAATTAAATTAAAGCAACACTAAAATAATAAAAATTGTACTGATGCTTGAAAAATGGATTGTTGTGAAGTTGAATTAAGTCATTGTTGATCATTTTCATCTTATCTTTTTCTAACTTCCATTTCTGTCATCTTTTTAATCTTAACTACTTCCACTAGATCTCAGAGACCGTTCTCTTCAGAAATTGTACACAATATGCAAAAAAACGTTTAAAAGTGATGAAACATCTAAAATATCATTTTCTATCACTAATTAGAGCGAAAAACAAAAATTAGCAAGAATAGGCAAATTAAAACTAAGCTACTAGGAAATTCGCGGTTATATCTGAAGAACTTCAGTGACGTCGGTTTTCAAGCATTCAGTTTTTGAGCATGCAACATATACGTATAACCTGAGAAGAAACTCCTTCCCAGTATCAACTATCAAGGCCAAGATAGATAGACATGTGGTAAAACAATAGATACCTAGAGCTCTTAGCTCTTCTTAATTTTTCGAGATGTCTCGCCCATTGTTGCAGTGTATTTTGAGAAAACGCGCCCTGTTTTTTCCTACTGTCTGCAAGTTCGGGCGGCCGAGCTGCGAAACGCCGCTGCAGGAACCGACGTGGTCGCGGGTCCGCCGGTATAGCCAAGACAGCAAGTTGGTGCGGCTGAGCGATTTCGAAAAGGCGGAGCAGAAGGACCGTGACACCTACCTGGAGTTTATCCACATCTATAAAAAAAAGGAAATCCAGAGGCGCGGGCACGTCGAGTTCATCTACGTCGCTCTCAAACACATGAAGGAATTCGGCGTTGAGAAAGACTTAAGCGCGTACAAGTCGCTCGTCGATGTTTTCCCCAAGGGCAAGATGGTGCCGAGGAACATGATCCAAGCAGAGTTCATGCACTACCCTAAACACCAGCAGTGTGCTATTGACCTGCTTGAGCAAATGGAGGAAAATGGTACAAACAAATTTTGTCACAAAAGACATTGACTTCTTTTTACTATATGCTTTGGAATGGAAGTCAAATCATTATGTTTGTTGTGCTCTATTAATGACAGATTATAAATTTTTTGCCATGATTTCATTAGTTTTGGATGCTAGTGCAATTGTCAATACTGGACCTAATATTATTCTGTCAATTACAAATATTTCTCTTAATATCTCGTTTACAAAAATTTTTGGATTCGTTCTATAAAAGTGCTACTGATAATTTTACAAAAACTTCAGTAATAAATAATCCATTTATGTTTATTGGTCTAATTTGCCATATTAATTATTTTAATTAATTATTCTTTTTGGGTAAGGTCTTGGTTGAGATGAAAAAGTTAGTGTCACAAGAGGTATTCGAACCCACAGCCTTTGGCTCAATACGCCTCTGCTCTAGCCATTCCCCATCTCAACCTACAACCTTATGCATTTTACCTCTTTTTGCCATTTTTCAAATGTTGTCCTATGATTCTCAGCAACTTATGAAAATGGCCACGGTGAGCTGTTAGTGAAGTGATTATAAAGTAGTGGAGTATTGAGCCGAAGTTCGTGAGTTCGAATCCCTCTCATCACACTAATGTTTTCATCTCAACCAAGACGTTAGAGATTAATGGTTCAATCTATTGAGTTTAAAAAAAATTAATGTTTTTACACATGTAGCTTTAATCTAGAGGCCAGGGGACGCTTTTCATTCGCGGAAAAGATGCTCTCTCTTTTTCAAACATTTTTCAAGTGAACAATATATTTTCCATGTTGCACCATCACAGGCATTCTAAACCTTCTATAATGTTAAATAAATGAAGGTACCTTTATTCCTTCCATGGCCCGAAAAAGCTTGGGTTACTTTATATGTTAGGGGTTGATGCTGCTCCTTAACCTGGAGGAGATGGTGGGAATGAATGACCTTATGTCCCACAGCAGACGCAGACCAACGTTCCTCAAATCTCTCCCAAGTGTCCTCAGTTACCAGGGATTCCACATAGGTCCTCGGTGCCATTTTGAAGGATTCCGGCTATAGGGAGTCTTTGGATGCTTGTTTGGCCAGGTTGTCGGCTCTCTTGTTGTCCTCTATACCCACAACCCACAAGGGTCTTTACTCTGAATACCACGCCTATTCCAAAACCGTGTCCGGATGATTTCACACCAAATGAACTTGACCAGGGGCATGTGGTTTCTTTTGTCAGCAATAGAGTCCAACACCACTTGTGATTCTGTCCTCACAATTTTTGGATTTTTCTCTTCACACCCTGAAAAATAATAGTACTATGCCAACCACTCCATTGCCTTCAAGACGGCACATTCCCACCAATTATATTCACTCTGAACACAAACTAGAAGCCACAAAACAATGCATACGTTAGTTCTGTATATAATAAAACAACCCTGTTCTCTCCAATAATTAGAACAGGGGACCGAAATGATCGCTGCACAATTCGGATGTTGGGTGGCATTGCTGCACGCTCTCTATGTGGGGCCCATGATTGGCATCCTTCAATTAAGTGGGACTCATCAACTCACTTTTCTGTACATGCAGGACATATACGCAGGCCTTGGCCACGGTAATTGTTTGTGATCCTTCGATCCTCCCAGGGCGACATATCGACTTGATATGTGAGAGTATGTATCTGACCCAGGTTTTTTATTTTTTTATTATTATTTTTTTAAATAAATCATCCTTACTGTTTGAACATAACGAACATTACAGTTGCAAAACATCACATTTTCAGTAGACAAAAATTAAATTCACTTGAAAATGTGTTATGAGGTATCAACCGATTAATTGTCCTCTACCAGTTTATGTTTGGGACATACAAAGTATCATGTTCTGTTATACAATACAATTGTGTTAATAAAGTAGTGTGTTGGTAGGTTTTCGTATTGAGCCAGTTGAACTTGAACAAATTTGTTTCATTCGTTGCTAATCAAAAGACTTAATTGTCTTTATTTCCCCTACATTATTGATATTAGCCCTTATTTAAATCACAACTTGTATTGACAGCATTTTATTTTAAATCATACACAATATTTAAATTTTTTAAAATTGTTTAACAGATTTTTTTTTGCAGGAGTCATGCCGGATTATGAAATGGAAGATCAATTAGTTAACGTATTCGGAAAGACTGGTTTTCCAGTGAGGCGTTACTACAGAATGATGTACTGGATGCCAAAGATCAAAAATGCCTCGCCCTGGCCACTTCCTCTAGAAATGACAAATGATGCGTATGAGCTTGCACACATTGCTATCAACAGGATTATGAGTGTCGACATGAACACCGCTATCTCTACTTTCAAGGTGAGTGTTCAACAGTTGGATAAAGAGCTGGTTAGATTAAGAGTAAATTTAATTTCAGACTTCAGATGTTGAAGGTTCACTCGACGACACCTGGATTGTAAGCGCGCAGAGCCCAGAACAGAGTGCCCTTTTGGAAAGTTTGCCTGAGAACACTCCTCTCTATATCGATGGAAGATATCGCATCTGGCTAAGAGATAAGGCAGTCACATATTTTGTTTTAAGAGCAGATATTTGTACAAAGGAACAGAAAACAGAAAACTATGATGGTATTACCTATCATACAAATATTGGATAATATAGATTTTGTTGTTGCAGAATTATAAAATTTCATAAAAATAAGAAATCACATCGAGGTGCTTTGTGTTAATTTCAGATGTTTCAAAGCTCAGAAACCCCTTCTCTATGAAACAGCCTCAATTTCCTGCTAGGACCAAGACGGTTCATGAACAAGAAGATGGGATGATTCTCGCAGTCTGTTCAACTGGTACTTCAAGCAGGGATTCTCTTCTATGTTGGGTACGATTTCTAGAAAAAACGAATCTTAGATTAACCCAATTGCCAGTCGTCTTCACCCTCAGAGCGCCTCCTGAAGAAATGGCAATCGAGAATTCAGATAAAACAACTGAACAAAAAAAATTAGAAAATAGTAGAACAGATAAAGAAAATACACCATGATATTGTAAATAATGTAAATTAGGTAATTAAATATTTAAATAAACAAATTTTAACAATGTTGATTTTTCTCACATTGAATACTTGTACGTATATGCCTTTGTTCCATTTAACAATATTCGCTGGTGAATGTTAATGAACTATACAAACAATGACATACAATGCTGTAGAAAATCAAATGATTAAATTTGTTGCATTCGGATCCAACCAATTATTGCATATTAATAAACTCTTATTTAACTTTATTAGCATTAGATTAGATTAGAAGGAGTCAACCTCTACAATTTGTGCACCACAACCAGTATTGATCTATTGTGCATCTGCATTGCTTTCTAGAGCAGCTCATTAAGGCTTTTTACTAGGTGCCAAAGCATTCTTAAGGACTTCAGGCCGCCCGGGCTTTCCTCTCCGAGTAGAAATATCAGCCTACAAAAGACTGCCAACAGAGGATGTGTTCCACTGTCTATTCTTCTTCATGACAAGATCTGTACAGACTTGTCTCCACATACGTATGGACACATCCTTTGGAGATCTTCAGTGTCCAGTTAGCAATCCAACTATTATTCTAGTCTTTATACATCCTAGATTTAGTTAGTAGTTCTGCCCTTAGTATCTGTGGTATTTTGATGAACTTTTTCGCAAGCCTCTATATTGGGCTAGATTCCCATTGAACGGAGGATTTTTTTTTTATCCATTGTCTAATGTAGGCAAATTTTTGGCAGGTATGCCACAAAAGGGTTAGGGCCAATGGGTGTTTTGATTGAACTTTCCATGGCCAGTTTATTGCCTCGTTGCTTCTCTGCTCTGTATTCAGATAAGGGTAATTTTGTTATTTTCCCCAATGTCTGACAGGGCCCTAATGCATCCCAAATGACTGGACTTTACTACCGATGGAGTAACCCATGTAAAATAAAAAGGGGCGCATTGCACAGTTTCGGCTTTCGCAGATCTGACAATTTCAATAACTTTTTCTTTTTGTTATTCGTTTCTTCTGTTATAAACTGTTTATTCAGCCTATTCCAAACAAATAGATCATATAATATACATAAAATACCAATCACAGTCCAAAATGGCTAAAATATAAAATACAGATAAAATATCAATAACATTCAAAAATGGGAGGAGCCTCCACTTTGGGTTTTTAGCATTTGCTAATTTCAGGACTTTGACATTTGTTATTAATTTCTTTTGATTCAGTCTATTCCAAACGAATAGATCATATAGTATGCATAAAATATCGATCACAGTACAAACCATATAAAAAAAGAGGCAAAACACATAGTTGTGCATTTGTTAATTTTATGACTTATGACATTTGTTACTCTTTTCTTTTGATATAAACTGTTTGTTCAGCCTATTCTGAATGAATAGATATACATACATATACATATATACAGAAATTATCGACAACAGTTGGAAATAGTAAAAAGGGGCAAATCACAGTTTTGGCTTTTTCGCATTTGCTAATTTTAGGACGTTTGTAATTTTCTTTTGATATAAACTGTTTATTTACCCTATTCTGAACAAATAGATCATATATATATAAACTATCTTTAACAGTCGGAAATGACAAAAAGGGGCGAATCACCAAGTTTTGTCTTTTTCGCATTTGCTAATTTTAGTACTTTTGGTATTCTTTTCTTTTGATGTGAACTCTTTATTCCGCCTATTACAAACAGATCATATAATATGCATAAAATATTGAAAACAGTCCAAAATTGCCCACATTTGGCTTTTTCGCATTTGCTCATTTCATTTATTCATTACTTTTGTTTTATATACAAGCTGGTAAGCCGTTTCTCACAGCTTTTCTTTTGAAGTTTTTCTTGGGGTTAGCTAGCGTTGTGTATGTGAGAGACTATGTGTACCATTTTGTGAATGTATCTACCCCCCTCTTAGCACTTATTGTAAAATCTAGATTTTTGGTGATTTCACTTATTACAAATTTTGACTAGTTTATCAAATTTGGCATACAGAAATGGTAACAGGGGTTTCATGTCATCCGAAACCTATAAATTAGAAACATGGATTATTACACAGATGCCAACAATATCAATGTAATGCTACTAGAGAGAGAATAGCAAGCGCCTCAGGCCTGGCCTGCAAAGTACCAACGTAACAGCAAAAAACTGTAACTGAGTGAAGTTAGTCATCACCCTGATTACCAACGAAAGGTTAAGATGCAGCAGCAATGTTAAATTTGTAAAGAAAGTCAAATATTCAGTTTGGCTAAAATCATAACTGCTAATCATTCTAGTTCCTCCAAAAAGAGGCAAGGTTTTGTCTTGTCCAAAGCACAATTGAATTTGTTAACACTATTAATAAGATATACATGTTGTATGTATATAATTTTTTTAGTAATAATATTGTAGTTTTTCTTTTGAAGTTTTCCAGTTTCCTCAAAAGAAGTAAATTGCAAAACATCATTATAAAGGAACAAATAAAAACAGACTCAAAGACTAAAGGTGCATTGCAGTTTTCATACATAAAAAATTGGTGTACACATAGTACATAGTAATAAATGGATATAAGGTTAACACAAATAAAAATAAATAGCTTTAAAAACATTTATTACAAATTAAAATAAGTATATGTCATTAAAGCTTATTTAGCCTTGGCTGCCTTTTTAGGGGCGGCTTTTTTTGCTTCAGGCTTTTTGGCAGAAGCAGGCTTATTTGCGCTCTTGGCTTTCCTTTTAAGGAAGAGGAATGCAGAGGTGCGCATCTTGTTCCTCACTTTCCTGGCATTGTCCAGTTTAAATCTGTCAAAGTCTGTCAGTTCCTTCCTCTGAAATTTTTTTATATAAATGTTATTTTACTATAATTAATTTGCTTTTTAAAACAAAAATATTTTTATTGCTATAAATGCAACTCGCCTTCTTTTTGGCCTCGACTTTTTTCGACCATGAGCTGTTGGCCCACTTCTCATCCATATTGGCCTCCTTCCATTTTTTCCTGACTTCCCTGGTCGACGCTGTGAAACCGTACCTGAGCCTGAACTTAGTCAGATGCAGTTGGTTTAACCTAATCCCTTGCCTGGGTACACCAGTCTCTGGACCATCGACAAGAGCCTGAAATAAACGTTCATGTTATTATATTGAGAAATAAATATTCAGAAGCTTTCCACGAAAATTCCTGGCATACAAATATACCTGAAATTTATATCATGCCTCTTAAATACATCCTAACACTGACCTTTCTTCTTCAGACTATCACATACATTTTTCTTCTTAAGAGAAAATGTTCCAAGCTATTGGTATATGAAAGGGTTGTAAAGTATGTCCTGTGACTCAGAGCTTAACATCCAACTAGCCACTCAGAGCTTAACATCCTACTAGCCACTGGGTGTCACTGACAATAAATCAAAACTACTTTACAATACTTAGAAAAAGTCCTGGGGATTTGATTGGCTAGAATGACAATGTGAGTCAGAAGTTTTTTTTTACTCCTTCATATGATTTTATTACTATGAAGAAGGGTGGGCCCTCCAATTAATGAGTTTCTCATTTGGGCTTATATGTTTCCCAGGCCTAATGAGAAGGGCATTTGAACATTTTGAGAACTTTAGCTCGACGTTCTCAGCGTTTATTGGGTTGAGGTTGTGTCCAAAGTGTAGCAGACACTCTTCTTTTCACGTCCTAATCATCAACGAAACACTCTTCATTCACAATCCTCCTTCACAAGCTCACAAACTTTTTCAAAATTGTGACAACATTTTTCTGGAAAATCATTTGGCCACGATGCCAAGTCACATTTGAAATGTTCTACTTTAATCTTTTTGAAAAGCTTATAGCTCAACATCAGGTTGAAGGAATTATTTTGAAATGTGTGGTGTTTAGTTACCGTTAGTTAATGATAAAAAAAATTGTTCTTTTAAACCTACATCACACCAGACTGCATCTCACCATCTCCAAATAATCGTTATTTTGAAATTCCTTCATTGAGTTATAAACATGAAATACGGATCGTCAAAAGATTAAATTGACATACCCCACCATTTATCATTTTTATGTCCTACTTTTGTCTACCTTTCATCCCAGTTCTTCCCAACCCTCTACCCTATTGTCTTCCAGCATTTATTTTGTTCTTTGGTTATTAACTTTTAAAATAAACAATGAATACTTTTTATGAAAAATAAATGTTCAATTAAATACTTCCTGTGGTTTATGGGGTGACAAACCTATAGTATGATAGTCCTGTTATCTCGGTCTGCCTATCTTTGCTGAATCTGTCAGTCAGATGCTTAAGATGGTGAAATGCTGCAATAACGAACACTCTGGATCAAAGTATGGCCTTGAAGAAAGCAAATTTAGTTGCTACTGCCAAGCTTTCCTGGCTATTCCACTCCTTCCGCACACAGTATTTCCTAGGTTGCTTTCTTTTCCAGTCGATCCACACTCGTCGTCCTCTTTACATCATCCAATCCCTCCAATTCAACTCCTCACATCTCACTCGTAAGACCCGCTCATCCCCAATCCATCTTATCCTTCCGCAACATATAACCCATACCTTTGAAAGATCCGAGCCCCTAAACTCTGGAACTCCCTTCCCCTTTCTTCTAATCACGCTGCCTCCTTTTCCTCCTTTAAATCCCATCTGTATAATCACCTCCTCTCCTCCAAGCAGAGACCTCACGTTAACATTTGTTATTTTTGTTTAATATTCTCGTAATTTTTTCTTCTGTCCTGCCTTATTGGTATACATTGTGCCAAGATTTTTATCTTTTTTTAAATCAATTTTTTTTTTTTTTACTTTTAACTTCATAGAAGGAACTTTCTTTATTTAGTTCATGTAAATTATTCTTAGGGGACACCAGTCCCAGAAAAAGTTATTTTTCTTCTTCTTCTTTTGACCTATTTTAATCAGGGCAAAACAACCTTACATATGTCTACGTATTGATATATTTAAATTTTTACAGGCGATCTCAAATTTCCTTGTAGACCAATCAGTTCCCACATTGTCAAGGACTGTAACAGTAGGAAGTAACAGCAAAATTTGCTTTCTTCTTTAAGACCGTACATTGATCCATTACTCGTAGGCAAAAAAATACTTACTTTAGATACTTACACTGAAAACTGAAATGCTGCAATGCATCTAACTGATCAAAATCAACGAGGATGGGCAGAAAAAGACGATAAGTATCAAACTATAAACACAACTTCATTTGTTTTTCTCATTCTATTTAAAACTTTTTTTGTTTAAAAACCACGGTCAACAGAACGTTTGGTCAGGGGATGAGTTCCATTTAATTACTCTTGTCAAAAAACTATATTTGAGTAATGTACTGTTGAATGTGTAGTGTTTAGTGACCGTTAGTTGACGATTATTTGGAGATCATGAGATGTGGTCTGGTGTGGTACTGTCAAATTTTGATTTGGAAGTAATTGGTACACCTCAAAAGGAGTAAGAGTTGGGGGTGGGCACAAGTGGTTTCTCAAAATCAATGTCTGGGTACAAAACACTCTCACTCATAAATATACCATTCACTCAGTTAGGACGGTGGGGTACTTGCTATGCCTCAAACACCTTCTGCTCATTATATAACTAATATTCTACCATGGCCCCTCTCAAACTACACATTCTTGCTAATAAATATATTCACTTTCAACACACACAAAATATGTGCATCAGTAGTATTAACAGTAAAACAAACCTTTTCACGAAACAGGGGACACAAATGCTTCCATACTCAAGCATTCTCATTTTGGGTGCGCACTGTAGAGCTCCCTTCTATTGGGATACATCGAGCAACCTTCCCTGCATGATGGACACATAGCGGGCTTTGGCCTGGGTCTGTCTACCTTACACGGCCTATCCTTAACCGGGTCCAAATGTTTTGATAGCAGAAATGCTTTGTTTTTATATATTACGTGCTAAGTGGTAATTTAAGCTGTTGAGTTTTTGCCCAGGAAGAAGCATAGAAACTATTTCTTACGGGGGGGGTACGCTATGAACGCTCTATTTACTTATGTTTATAATTAATTTAAACTAAAATAAATACTGATTATTTGGTACATGTTGCTCTTCTGTTCCAACTCACTTTGGTCTGGTTGATGACATCAACAATACAGCATAATCTGCCTTTGAAAGGTCCATCGGCTATGTAGGCGACGCGGCCCGTCTCGACGAATCTCTGGAACGGCTGAAAATACAAAAACCAATACAGAAATCTGTATGAAACGGGTAAATCTCACAGAAAACCCATGGGAGCCCATGTGACCCATAACCTCCACGTGGTGTCCGATTTTACAGAACACCGAGAAGCCACATTTTGAAAAGTGTGTTACTTTTTATAAAGATATTATTCAAAATTGGCGTAAAAACGGCTTGTTAATATTAAAAGAAAATAATAGGCGATTTTATTTACCATTTGTCCGGCAGAGATAGGCTAAAGGAAACAGATCGTAAAACTATCCAGACACGGTAAGAGACCGAACCGTGGTTCATCAACTGGCCAGAGCTATGCTTTCAAATTCACTATAACTATTTTCTAATAAAATTTACCCTCTGAACAAAATAACAATAAATCTTTAAATCTTATTATTACATAAATATTTATTAATGAGAAATAACATCAAAATAATTTTAAAAGTTTGTATATTTATATATACAAACGTATCCAGCGATTAAGGAGTCATACATTTCAGTATTTGTTACTTGTTAGTAATAACCTTCTGAAGTTTTACTGGGCGAAGTTGAGGATTTTTTTTGTACTTTTACTAATTTTTATTTTCAATTTTTAACATAAATAATAAGAGTAAGAATTTTGATTGTATCGTATAGTTTCTCTTCGGAGAAAGCATTCATGTTCCCAGACATGATACCCGGTAGAATTCCTTGCGTTACAGGTACCTATCTTTTTTATTATTAAACACCACATTCAGTAAAATAAATGATCAATTCATTCATTTTATGTATTACATCGAGTCGAGATTAATGGATAATTTTTAGACAAAATCATTCCACGTTTCCAGGCGTGACATTTCATCATGGGAGTGATCATTCACGGATCAGTTGAAAAGAGAAGAAAACGATTTAGATTAGGTCAGACAAATGGGAAATTTTAATAATATAGGGCTTAAATATAGTCAAAAGTGTGTGGTGATTAGTGAATGATTCCCAGGCCCTGAAGATGATCTCAATAAAGATCGAAACGTTGGCACGATAAAGAAAATGTTTTTCTGAAACCTACATCACACCAGACCGCATCTCACGATTTCTAAATAAATATAGTCAAAAGGGTGTATATTGGGCGACTTTTGGTTCTCAATCAACACATAGACCATAACAACATAAGCAACTAAAGTCCAAGATGCCCAAAGTGCAATGGAACATGTGTGCTACTTGGAGTGATGGTTGAATTCTGTTGAAAAATTAAGATTATCAAGGTCATCTGTAAAAAGCTGCTTGGTGTTAAAAAAACGGTAGAATTTGTTTAAAGCTTGTGTGGCGGTTACTCAAGGAATATGAACATTCACCTCAATCCGGCATGCTCGTGACATCACGTATGCCCGGGTATGCAGTTGGCATGTAATGTTATAATTTAATCGCATTTACAGTGTTGTATAGATATATAAAGGTAAAGAAATAGACAATGTGGGTTCATCCAATCAATATTAGAAGAGACAATGTTGGGGCATTTGTTGTACTTTTTGATGATATAAAAAATGACAGTAAAACATTTTTCAACTATTTTAGAATGAATGCAAACATTTGATACTACATTAAAGAATATCCTTACAGAACTGCAACAAATTATTTGGAGAATTATCCAGCCTGTTGATATGTTTGCAATGGTTATGGTAATGAGGATACACTAGAAAGCAGGGCTTGTGCTCCCCATGCACTGCAGCCTTCTGGCTTATTGTTCTAGTTCCTTAGTGCAGTGCACTAGACTCCATCCTTCTTCTTAGAAGTATCGGGTCATTGTCGCGCTGAAATTTCATTCCCTAGGTTTTTTTCTGTGTGTTAGGTTAAATCTCCATTGAGTTGTTGCTTCACATTTGAAGATGATATAGGTGGCTGTTTCTTACTCCTCTTTGTATAATCTGCAGATGGGATCATCGTTGTATATGCCCATGTTGTGTAGATGTTTTCGCAATTGCCAGTGACTGGTTAATAGTCCTCACTTTTCTGAGTCGAGCGCTCTCCAATTGCAGCAGGGATTTTGACAGTCTTGGTGTGGGTTGTTTCGTCTTTAATTTGCTGTGTTTAGCACCACTAGAGTTTATCCACTTCTCCATTTCTGATCTATTCTTCGATGCAGGATTCTTATTTGTTTTTGTTATCCCAAGTATATGTTCAGGGCCTATGTATGGACTTGCAGATCCTCCTCTGGTCAGTGTATCTGCTTTTTCGGTGCCCAAAAATTTTTTTTGTGTCCTGGCATGGATATCATCAGGTTGTTATATTTCCCCAGGTTTTGGTGATTTTGGATGCATTCACTGACTAATTTTTTATGTGATTTTTTTACACTTTAACGCTTTAATAGCTGCTTGGCTATCAGATCGTGATTTTTGTGCCAGTGTAACCTTTTTAAGATTTTCTAGGGCACAAGCATTGATGACATGTATTTCTGCTTGAAATATCGAAATGTACTTCCTTAATGAGTTTGTTCGCTCTGAGATGTGGCAGTTATGGCAAAGATAGTGATTCTTCCATGTTTCAAGTGTTCTTTGTGGAAGTCACTACTGAAAATCCTTCGTACAAAATCCAGAAGAAAAATGTCTTTCTTGTATCCCAAAGAGTCTGTACTGTTTCCTGGATAATGCTTTACAGTCACATAGGGCATGTTCTGATGTTTTGCCTTTTCCTGACAGTCATTGGGTTTCTGTCTGTTTTTCCCATTTTTTGAGGTGGTAATTGAATGGGCTATGGCCAGTATAAAGGTTTATTCTTTTCCTTAATCCTTGCTACTGTCAGGAGAAGCTTTGAGTTCTGGTTCAAAGGGAGCTGCTCAGTCTGTTTCCCCTTTTGTTCTATTACCTACATCATAGTTACATGATTACGTTTTCCCTGGTGTTGGAGATATGTTAGGCATTCCCAGACCAACTTTGAATTGTAGTAGTTTAAGGTCTCCAGTGCTGCTTGGCTGTCTGAGAATATATGTTGCACCTTTTAATCCTTTTTAAGTATTTCTTGTGATCAGTTTTCTATTGTATCGATCTCAGCTTGGAAAATTGATGATGTGGTGCCTCATAGGTCATATTTTGAGTTTTTGTCTCCTGTCCCCGTTTTAGATTCATCTGCATAATAAGGCCCCTCTGTTAGTTTCAGGGATTTTGTTCTTCCAAAAATCATTTGTTATTTTTATTTCATTTTGTCTGACAAATTTTTAAAGCTATCTCATTATTTTTCCCTTTTTTAGCACTTTATCTTGGCTTTCTCTTAGGCCAGGTTTTATTTAATTTTGTCCTAAGTCTGTTTACACTTTCCCATGCCATCCTCTGGATGTTTGTAGGCAACAATGGTAAGCCCAGCGCCACTTTCATTGCTGAGCAAGTCTGCATTGCCTCCATGTTGTTAAGACAAATTTCACTGTTTATAAACAATCACATCTTATCATACAATAAAAAACTGGTTAGCCCAGCAGTTCCAAAACTTTTTCTGTTTCTGGCCCCTTGAAATATAATTTTTCCACAGTGCACCAAGTCAAAATAATGGTCAATCTCAGCATGAACTCAGTAATTCATTTAGAATTCAGAAAAGCATTGATATATCTAAATCTCCTTATTATGTCTGCAATTTTATTTCATAAATAATCAAAACTCCTAATTTTCTTGTAAAATTGCAAAACTTGCTTTTGGAAAGCAATTATGTATTCGATAGCAAAATGTGAATACTTTTTTTGGACAATAATATAAAATACACAATTGCAGCATGTCTTGTTAGATCAATGCATGTTGAGATTGGATGGCCCCCCAGGGTCTTAGTTTTTCGGGGTCTGTAATGGGGGTGTAGGTTTTAGGTTTCTTTATAAATATAAATATAAAGTTATTCAGATATCGTGAGATGCGGTCGGGAGTGATGTAGGTTTCAGAAAAACATTTTCTTTATCGTGCCAACGTTTCGATCTTTTATTGAGATCATCTTCAGGGCCTGGGATTTACAAACAATGTTTACATTTAACAAATACATTTAGGATGTGGATAAGTGAATTTATACAATGCAAAATATATTTTATATTCAAACAAAGTATTTCTACTCACTCAAAGTGTTTGTCTTCTGTGTAATTGTGCCATCCTTGTGTGTCGTGTTGAGAGTGCCCACACAAGGATGGCACAATTACACAGAAGACAAACACTTTGAGCCCTGAAGATGATCTCAATAAAAGATCGAAACGTTGGCACGATAAAGAAAATGTTTTTCTGAAACCTACATCACTCCCAACCGCATCTCACGATATCTGAATAACTATAGATTAACGGTCACTAATCTCTACACATATAAATATAAAAATAAAATTAATATTTTTATAGAAAATTTTTGCTGTGCCCTTGTAGCACAGCTGCGGCGCACAGTTTGGGAATCGCTGGGTTAGCCTATTGATAAGAACACTTGCCCTTTATGCTTTATACTGTTAATCAGCGGTAGTCTGGCTACTCATTTTCTACTTCATGGTGTTATACAATGTTGGATCTGACAATCAGACTATCCAGTCTTGCGTCCGATTCGTGATGTACTGTATGACATCGGCTCTGATGCATGGTATGGTTGAATATTATTGAATTTTAAAATTCACATACCCCAATTATACGATCAGAACTGACTGAGTATCCAATAAAAGCAAGCATTGGATGGGATAAGATTAGTTGTAGAAATTGGCACTTATTTTCATTCTTGTTTTAATGCTGAACTCCATCGGACCTCAGGGAGCTTCATATTCAGCCTTTTGTTATAAAGTGCTCACTGGTAGTTTGGAGTTTGTATAAAATGTCTCCATACATTTTCTGAAGCTTGTTTTGTCTAGTTTATGTTGTTATGGTTTGTTATATTGCAAAGCCATTAATTATTTTTTTCTAATGTAATTTTCATTTGTTTTTGACATAATTTACAGATAATCTTCTTGGTACATCTTGGCATGACAGTACCTGGGTGCCAATTTTAAACCCTTCAAACATCCTCGACTACTTCTCAGTACGTAGCAACCCATTTTACGACAGGACATGCAACAACGAAATGGTCAAGATGCAGAGGCTCAGCCTCGACCAACTCACGTATGACATTTTAATCAAAAAGCGGTTTCAGACTGATAAGAACAGTTCGATTTTACAGGAACATGACCGGCCTCGAGTACGTTCTATTGCACGTCCAAGAGCCGATACTTTATGTGATACGCAAACAACATAGGCATAGTCCAACTCAGCTGACACCCCTCGCCGATTATTATATTATTGCTGGTACTGTGTACCAAGCGCCTGACCTTGCTTCAATTTTAAATTCAAGAATTGTAAGTTGTTTTACTCAGCAATAAATTATACATTTATCAAAGTCTACTCAGAGGATCACTGTAATAAACTTTAATATATTGTAAAAATATTATTTTCTTTTTGAACTTTTTCACCAGTTTTGTGTTTCCTTTGAAAGCTCTCAGAAAATCACTCGAACCCTACTTGTGTTTTTGTTATTTGTGGGAGATCTTCGCCTGACTGGGTGAGGTGGAGGAAAAGTTCAAGATAAATTTATGTTGAATTTAGCAAATTTTTTATAGATATAATTCATATCATTAACAATTAGTAAGAATTGAATTAATAATCATTACACTATGTTACTGTGTATGCTATATTCGTATGTAGTATTTTGCCTAATCATTTGCCACATTAGTTTTGAACCGTTAAACTTGTTATGATTCAAATTGTTCTAATTATTGGTCTATAATTTTTCTTCTAGTGGTTTTAATTGAGATGTTAATGTTTTTCAGCTCACAGTCGTCCACCATCTCCAGTCTGCTTTCGAAGAAACGAGCTCATACTCTCGATACCACCCATCTAAAGGTTATTCATGGGAACTCAAAATGACAGAGAAAACTGCGAAAAAAGAATCTTCCAAAGAAGAGCCGAGCTCGCTATTTCAACGGCAGCGTGTCGATATGCTACTCATGGAGCTGACGAAAAAATATCCCCTACCAATTATCCCACCGCCGGCTCCAGCTAAGGCTAATTCGGAATGTAAGTCGGAACAAGGCACATTTATGATGTTTATAGTGTAATATTTGTTTTTGTTTTTAGTGGAAATTAAAAGTGAACCAAGGGATGTCAAAACTGAGAAAATTGATTCACCTTGTATGAAACCCCCACCGGAAAAAAAGCCAAGGCTCGCATAATAAAACAAATAACTATAAATAAATGTATATTCAAGAAAATATGTAAATATACAATGTGTTCAGTAATTTAAATAAAACAAAAAAACAATGATTCAAATAAAATTAACAATTCACCAATTTTTTTTCTTTTTTAAGATATAAAAAATACTCTTAAAATAAACAGTCGATAGTAAATGATGGTATTTTATTTATATAAATAACAAAAAACATATTGAAACAAGAAATTATCAGTTTTATTTTAAGTCTAAAAAATACATTCATGACAACAATTTCAAGACTAAACTATGATCTCAATTTGACAGGTGTAAAAAAATAAAATACATTATTAAAAAAAAAATTGGCTCCTTTATTTCAAAATTTACTCTTAAAAAAATAAAAATAAAATCAAAAATGTCAACAACGTCACAGTTAGTATTACACCACAGATCGGATTCACGCCTCCAAGAAGATTCTTTGGATCAAGAGATATTTGAACAGTACAAACAAATAGATTCTCAAACAAGCAACGTCACTGTTAATGCAAGTTTGTCGATGAAAGTAAGTTGTAATCTGGTTCCGCTAAAAATTATACATTAATTAATAAGTGGTTATGGTACATTTCATATATTCTAATAAACTGTTAGTTACAAGAAAATAATGGTCTTTCTTGAGTATGGTGTAACATTTTGCTAAAGTTCATATTTTTAATTTTGGTGTTTCCTAATGACATTACATGTTTATTTAAGAGAAACCAAGATGGTCAGAAGATATCAAAAATTGGCCTACATAAATCATTACACATACTCTAAACAGGCTATGGTGCACAAAGTTTAGGCTTTCAAGGAGTCAAAATATGTGCCAACTACTTGATCCATCTGTAGACGAAGTTGGACGCTCTCTTTGAATATACACTAGGCTGGTATGTGAATTATGTAACGAGAATAGCTTCAATGCCTCCTACAAGCTTCCCAAAAAGTACTGGTTATCGAGTCAAATTAAGGCTTAATAGAGCAAAAACAGTGAAGATGCCAAGGCTCTCTTGGAGGGACTCGCAGAAAAGAAATATAAAGCGTGCTAACACAGGGTGGAAATGTTGCAAAGATCATCTATAAAAGGACAATGATGGCCAAAAAGCGAGCTTGAAAGAGGATACTGGAGTGGATGTATACTCGGCAAGATGGATATTTAATCTGGAAGCAGAGACAGTAAACTTAAATGCTAAGTCGTTTAATGAAGATCGAGTGAAGGCCTGTGCGCAATGTGCAACAAAGGGAAAAATGAGGATACCTTTCATTTTATATGCGCTTGTCCCATTATCAGAGTTCCATTAGCAAACTTTCTATGCCGGATGTTGCAAAATGGTGGCTACAACTGATTATCCTAAGTTCTGCAGGGCTGCCTAGAGATACAGGAAGTATCTCATCAATGAATTTAATTTTTGAAAGTGGAAAAAAGAAAGACTTTATTTATTATTTTGGTCGCTGTTTCAACTGTTAAATGTCATATTAAGTTTACTTTGATAATATTATTTCATGAAATGTACAAATGATATATTTACAATAAACTTAAATGAAACTTAGAAAAAAAACAACAAAAAAAACAAACACCAACTTAGAAAAAAGTGCGAGAAGGCCATGGTAATAATTTACTGTGCAAGACTGAACAACGCAGGGATTGTGAGACAAATTTGTGAAAAAGATTGAGAGGTCTTCAGAAAGTAGCCAGTTTAAAAGCATCCAGAAAAAATCTTAACATTAACAAAGAAGAATTTGATGTTTGCTTCAGTAGTAGAGGAAAATTACACTAAGTTAATTCAAATAGACCTGAAGTGGTATCAGAGAGACAGATTGAGGCATGAGTTGTGCCAATATTGCATCCTTTGGTAGAAGTGTATTTTTAATTAAAACGCTAACCACTTGCTAACCATGGGAGACTGCAGTAGCTGAGTGATTTACATGTTAAGATTCCCGGCTGATTGACCCTACAGTCATGGGTTCGATTCCCAGTCACTCCTGGCCTTTTTTTCACACTCCCCCCCAATCATATATGATGAAATATCAACACTCATGCACTCTAGCTAATATTTATTTATTTAATATGTTAATCATAAAGCATTAAATTAAAAACAGAAAAACAACTTCTACTTTATTGATCTATTGTATGCTGATATTAGGAGACAAATCATGTAAGAGTAATAATTAATGGATTAAATCATCAGGAAAAAAATCCCAAGTTCATTTTAGGCTGTACATTGCCTTTAATTTTAAGGCCTTTTAAACCTAATTTATTCATCATAAATACACCTTAATAAAAAAAATGGTCCCATTCTTAGTCTGTAATATGTAAATTCACAAATAAATAGGTAAAACCTTTGTAAAATAATGTGATGGAGGAATATCAAGTATTCTACCAACTGAGTGTAAATAGGAAATAATGTATTTAAAGGCGAGCGGGTTTGGATCTGGAAACCGATTGCATTGGGTGCTGAAATGACCTAGCAGTTAACAGCACCTCAAGTCCAACCTTGGTAGCTGGACGGATAAGACCTAGGTCTGACCTCGGACTGTCAACATCCAGGGTGGGTGATTTTAAAAGCATGCCAATAATTAATTTAAATTACACAAAAACTGTAATTGCCAATGAGCTGTGAGAAGTACTAGGCTCAATTCTGTACATGCGTGTGGCAGATTTGAGCTTATATAAATCAGTAAACAAAAACTATTGTAACTTAAAAATAACAGTTTTGAGGACCATGATGTGACCAGTGGTTAGAGTGCCCAACTCGTGTTTGCCACATTAGCTGTTCTTATTAGTTCAAATTCCTGCATAACCCATGGATTTTTAATTGAAAATACAATCGACTCTTGTTAATTTAAAAATTGATCATTCAAATTTCTTGATAATATGAACTCAGCAAATCATGGTAAATCGAAAAAATTCTGTGTATTTTTATACCCCTTTATATGAAATTTTTCCATTAAGGGGGTTAAAAATAATGCTACTAATCGAAATGGAGCCACTTACCATCTTTATCATTTGAATTTTATCTTTTTTGTTATATTCTTCTAAATTCTATATTTCTCTAGTTAGTATGTTCTGCGGTCAGTGTTTTGTCAATGTGTTGTCAGGACTGGTCTCTTTGGAAAATCATTTCAACAAAGGACGAAAAAACTACAATGTTCAATTTTACAGTTGATCTGTTTATCATTTATTTTTAATATGTTTTATATATGTACAATTTAAGTAATAACTACAAAAATGCATATGAACTCTTTTTTTTCAATCCTCTTGAGAAATCGAATTGGTTATTAAACAATCCAGTATGACAAGAAGTAATTAATTACCACCTTTATTGTTCAGTTTTAGAACTTTAAAATCGCAATCCTGAAAATGTTGTTTTATTTATCTGTTTTTCCCTGCGAGTGCAGAATTATGCAAACAGTTGGTATAAAAACCTTAAAAAATGCTCACAAAAATTTGTTTTATTTCAGGACACAATATCCTCAAGAACTGATGATGTATGTATTATTACATTTATAATTGTTTCTAAATAAAAAAAGATATGTTTTATTATTAAAACCAGAATTATAATCATGATAGGGAAGGAGATCGTTTATGCAAAGTTTAGGTAAAAATTTCAGCTTTTTCTTGATTTAAATACCATGTTAAAAATTTTATTTTAGTATAAAATATTTTCAGGCTCATCATTGATGGATAGCTGTGGAAGGATCAGCCTAGGAAATATCGTCGAATTAAAACGAGTCGATAAGCCGATTTTAACTGAAGCACAGGTAGCCATCGCACAAGGAGAGGAACCGAGGAAGAGGCAATACTTACCGACTATACATGCAAGGGGGACGTTTTACGATGTTGGATACGCAATTGTAACTGCAACAAATCCAAAAAAAAAGTGCAAACTTGTTATATTAATGTTTTCTTTAGGGAAGGACGTTCCGCGCAGCAATTGCTGACTCCGTCAACCGGAAGTTTGCATTTAATGATAAAACACTTTTGTATTCTGAATCCCGACAGGGGAAGGAACTCTACAACAAACTATTGGCCAATTGCCTGCATCATTACCCTCAGTATATAAGAGAGCTGAGAGGAATGGCTGACGGTTCAGGGATCAGCTTTAGCAAAGTAGGCAGTTATGCTTTTTCAACATACAAAAAATAAGCCAATTTATATTTATACCCTAATCATATGAATGAAGATAATGAGAATTATTACAGCAAGAGGCATGAAAACTTATCTAAAGGCCCTTCTATACAATGGCCCATTACTGGCTACTACAAGCCATTGCATTGTGTAAAGTGTGGGTTTGGCATGCAGTGGCCGATGGTGTGATGGTTGTGGCAAGGAATGGCTTTAGGAGCCATTTTCCTCTCGAATCAAAGAAGCCAGCTTGGTAAATGCACAGTAAATTCCTACTCCTTACTACCACACAATAGTCCATAGTCAACCAGTATGTGGATGGATATAGATGACCCAGAGACTGGTCACCTCTAATGGAGGCTATCTTTACAACCATTATAGACGGCCATTGTATAGAAGAGGTATCATCTGACGAATTTGAGTGTATGCTTGTTTGTTTTAAACAATTTTACTTTTTTACTTTTTATTTTATTTTACTACTTTGCAAAAAACGGCGTTCCAGAAAGTCGAAGCATATGGCCGGTTCATGCTCAGAGTTCAACAATACATATATGTCTGAATATATTTTTTTTTCTTTCAGTTATTTGTACTCCAAGTTGGATCTGATATAATGTCATATTCAAGAGGGCATGCTGATTTTAAAAACATCACATCCAGCACAACTCTCGTTCTTAATACTAAACATCAAGTGTGTTTAATCTATATTGGTCTAATGATTAATAGTTTAATAATAATATAAATTTAATAGATAATGGGCCAAGTTGAGGATCAGCCAGCTTCTTCTCTAGGTAATGCCTTCATAGTCAGGGCTTCGATAAATGAAGACAATCATTACAAAGAGGAATTTACTGCTGTCTGCGTTGCTGGAAGTCTACCAGGTTGGGAAATGGCGGTCAACTATCACGGGCTTGCTTTCACAGTCAACAGCATAAGAATAAGAAATTTCAATTTAAACGGCATCCGTAAGTTACATTAATAAAACAAAATGCATTGCCAGAAGTTAATGACAGAATGTACAGCGAAGAGAATAATCTGCCGGGCGCTTTTGGCCGCCCATTCTATTGAGAAAGCCAAAATGATTCTTTATGGCAGCGGATTCGGCATAGCAGATGCAATAAACGTAACCTGTACTTTTGCAAATGACACGAAAGAAAGGATATTCTACAGCATTGAAGTCGCACCTCCGACTCACGATACGACGTACTCGCAATTAAGCATAGAAGTTATTAAACCTGGTACTACATTTTCGCATTACAATGGGTGAGTATAAAGCATCTTCCTTATTGTAATAGTTTTATAAAAAATAATGCATATCAAGAAATCATTGATATCTGTAAAAAAATTATACTTTTAAATCAAGTATCATTACAAATGCGTACTTTCACAGTTATCCCCAAACTTAAGCTATTTATTTTTCCAAAGTTCCTAAAATTTACTATACAAAATATAACGAATCAACAGGCAAACTTGCATAACATGTATATGGCATGCTTTTTTTTTGTCCTGTTTACATATGTATGGTGTAACATTGTTCCAACAAAAACCAAGCACTGAAACAAAAAATAGAATTATCAATGTTTGTGCACTTTTTTTTGTATGTACGCTTAGGTTCAAGCATCTGAAACAATGGCTGCCAAATGAAGATCTTGATTTTGTAAATTGGAACCGGCATAAAGAGCAAACAATAGAAAGATATCCTATGTCTAATGTAAATGACATAAAGAACATTCTGGGAGATACAGGAAACTGCCGGCCATTTAAGAACATATTTTCAGTAGCTGATCAAGTCTTTAGTTCAGTCGTTGTCGGTAAGAACTTTTTAATACAAATAGGTACATTAAGGGGACCTCTGTAGCCTACAAGATTCTCAGCTCATAGTCGCCCATGGTCAAGGGTTCAATTCCCACTGTTGCCATTAGCCTTTTTGAATGAAAAATTAGCGATGAAAAAGTTCAAACTCTTGATGAAAAAATTAGTGTCATAAGTGGGATTCGAACTCACGACCTTCGATAAATACACCGCTGCTCTACCTGAGACTAATCACTTAAGAGTTGTTAGAGCAGCGGCATATTGAGCTGAATGTCGTGAGTTCGAATCTGCTCATGACACCTTTTTCATCTCAACGAAGACCTTACATAAAAGGAATAATTAATTGAAAAACTAATTTTGAATATTGAACATCTAATATGAATTGGCTAATATTGAAAAATAAGATCACTAAAAAAAGTTTAACGCTCTATGTACGAGACTAACGTTAATTTTATTTATATGTTTATGTATATATATATTTTTTTTCATAACAAATGTAAACACTTTTTCAAGGGATATTTGACCTCCGAGCAAGAACTCTCACAATTTACTTAGACAATCCAAAACAGGCAATACCACATGCAGTAATAAATTTTTAAAACCATTTTATTTATTGTGTTTTTAATAAAAATAATTGAACTTCAAATATATAAAATAATGAATATAAAAGTAATCAGATGAGCATATTTATAAAAAAAACTAACTTACAATTGAAAATATAACTATTTTTAAATGGCATTTGATTTTGAAATGTATTTGAAAATGTAAAAGGTAGTTGATGTGTCCCGCTTAATTGCTGGAGTGCAGGAATGCTGCCCAACTTGAGAATTGTACTTTAGCACAGCAGCAAGTGGGTCCGCTGATCCTATTCTTGGAGGAAACGGTGTTGTTTTAATGTATATAAGAATAGTTGTGTACACCTAGGTTGTGTGAGTGAATGTATTAATTAGCATGAATGTGTGATTTGAGAAGGTCGATGGCGGAATATCAAGTACTCCACTACCCTAATTGAATGATGAGTAGTATGTAAATAGGAGTGAATGTATTTAAGAATGAATGTTGCATGTGTTGGGAATTCAGTTGACCTGAGCGACCTATTGGCCCCTCCACCAAAGCCTAACCTCGGTGGCTGGATAATATTGCAAAAGCTGGACAAATAGGCTCAACTCATGCTTGTTGCTATGTTCATATGCCCTCCATAAGCCTATATAAATCCAAATCTTAAAATGTAGGAATACATAATTATAAATGACTCTTTTGGTCTTGTTATTCAATTTTTTTTACTTGCTCTATTTGTTTCATTTTCTTTTTTCTTGACATAATTAGTAAAACAATCTTTGTCCAAAAATAATTAAATAACCAACGGCTATAATGGGCTTTACTCACCCAATAACCATGTTTTTCAGTGCTTAGAAATTTGATTTTGTAAGAGGGAAAAACACTAGCCAACTGAAAATATAAAAATAATAGTAGGGAAACAAACCCTGAAATATATCCAATCACATGATAACAAACTTACAATTCACAAAAAATTAAATGTGTTTATTTACCTTAATAAATGAATAAACAAATTGCAATCCCTTATCATCACTAGGACTAGTTTTCGATATCCATTTCAGTATCAGGATCAACCGATCTACCAGGTTGGCCATATAAAATTTTAAGTGACTCATATCTCTTTTGGTCCTAGAAAAATATTAAACATTTAGTTCATTTGTCTAATAAAATTTCTTAATATATTGATAGTAAGTGAAAATGTACGTTATAAATACCTTGGGCGTAACTGAAGGTCTTATTTTACTTATTGCTTTTGTAAAATGTTTAGCATGAACTATCAATTCCTCAGCTTCTACAGGTACCATTTCTTCTTGAGGCCCCTCAAGGACGTTAATGTATTCTGTAAGGGCCAAGAGTGAGGCTTCTTTCACTAAAGCTGCTAGATCTGCTCCTGAGTATCCTTCACAACTACCGCTGCTCCCGATTTCTTCGAGGGAGACATCATTTGACAATGGTGGTTTTGTGCCGTTCTTAAAATATAAAAACTAAGTACTTGTTTTATAGCATGTATTATATATATTAACAAAATACCTTTGTAATGGCTTTAAGTATTTCAACACGATCTACACCTAAAGGAAGACCTACATAAAGAATCTTGTCAAAACGACCAGGCCTAAGGACAGCAGGGTCAACCATGTCTGGCCTGTTTGTAGCCGCCATTAAAAACACACCTTCACGACCTTCGACCCCATCCATTTCAGTCAATACTTGGTTAACCATCCTTGAACTGACACTTCCCTACAAATAAAGACAACTTTTTGAAAAACATATTACAATTTCTACAACTTTTGTCGTTTCTGTGATAGAAAAATTAAATACAAAATGATTTGTAAAGATAGATTGTTGTGATTTTAGGCTAAAAACAAAAATACCTCAGTAGAATCCGATCTTTTAGGGCAAAGGGCATCAATTTCATCGAAGAATATAACACAAGGTTGAGAATTTTTCGCCCTCTGGAAACACTGACGTACTGCTCTTTCACTCTCCCCAACATACTGAAATACCATACATGATTAGTTACTTTTTCAATTAAAATGTTTTCTAAAAAATTACCATATTTAGAAGCTCTGGTCCTTTGACAGAAATGAAATTAATATTCGCCTCGTTTGCAACTGCTTTAGCTAAAAGTGTTTTCCCACAACCAGGTGGGCCACACAACAATATACCAGAAGGGGTCTCAATTCCCATTTTTGAAAACTCTGTTGGATATTTTACAGGCATCTATATAAAGAAAAAGTGTAAGAAACATAAATTCAAAAATGTAATTTATGTCTTGTTATTTATACAATACCATAATTGACATTTTGAGTTCATTCCTGATATCCTGAAGGGAGCCAATGTCATCCCAAGTGACATCTGGCACAGTGGCGAAGCCTTCTCTCTTTGCTGAAGGTTGAACAGTTTTGATCGCAGCAGTAATATCATCCATCCCTATACAAAGATCTTCCAAGTCTTGGGAGAGGAGGCTCTTCACCATTCTTAATCTATTGTAAAACCTCGGTTGAGGACAGTCCGATCCTGGTATCTCTTCAATTATTTCACAGATGTCATCTTCAGGTGACTGTTCCTTGGAACTAGCCTTTTTTGAACTAGAGGTGTTCTCTTCACCATCTTTACTGTCTTTTTTAGTCTCTTCATCTTTCGCCTTAGTTTCTTCTAAGTTGTTAACCCCATTAACAGGTAAAGTTTTTTTCATTGGTATGTTCGACATAAATCTATAATAAAAATAAATAATTTCAACTTTGATCCATTAAAACCTGGATCCATAATAATATCCTGCAAAAAGTTCCTCGTTAATATTCATGGGTTATCTATCTTCTGTTATTAATAATTACAAGAAAATCTTTCCTCAGTTACAAAGAATACTATCTGAACTTATACCTACAAACTTTGCAAATCTACCATTCTTCTCACTGCATTAACAATGTAAACAATCAAAAATTACAACCATTACCTTCTAACAGTGATCACAGCTGCTTCTCGAATAAGGGCTTTTAAATCTGCTGCGACATAACCAGGGGTCAACTCCGCAATCTTCGGTATTGAGATCTCTTGGCTAAATTTGACTTTAGAACATAAGACTTGGAGTATGCCCTCTCTTGCATCCCTCCCTGGTATTCCAAGGCATACCTCTTTATCGAACCGTCCAGCTCTACGCAACGCTGGATCTATCACTTCCAACCTGTTTGTCGCTCCTATCACAATCAGCTCGTTGCCTTCATCGCATTCATTTAGTTCTAACATAATAATCCAATATAAGTTATTTAGTAAATTTTTCTTATAAAACAATTATTAACCATCGAATGAAGCGATTAGCTGTGAAACAATCCTTTTCTCCATTTCTTTCTTTGCATTTTCTCTTGATTGGCAAATTGCATCAATTTCATCAATGAAGAGGACACACGGTACTTGATCTCTCGCCCTCGCAAAAAGATCTCTAATTCTTTGCTCCGATTCTCCAGACATGCCTCCGACTAGTTCTGGACCGGCCACACTAATCAAAGGCAAACTTAACTCCTACCAATGAAATTTAAATTAGAAACAGGTCTGTAAAAACATACTAGAATATATAAAAAAGGCCAACTAACACCGGCAATGCATTGCGATAAATAGGTTTTTCCACATCCAGGAGGGCCATGAAGAAGAAAACCCCTTGGTGGTGATACACCAAGCACAGAGAAAATTTCATACTGGTAAAAATGAAGAACTAAGTTGTTCACAGTCTGCAATTATACAAAACATTAATTAAGTTATAAAAGCATCCAATTACTATTAATATATATAAAAAAATGTAACATAAAAAATATTTTTTGTCAAAAATGAGACAACATTCACTGAAACACTTTTCATTATGTATTTTACTATGTAAATAAAAAATGATTACTTCTAAAACTTTAGGGTAGCCTCCAAAATCTTGGTAATTTAGATCAGGTATTATGTCTGGGATGATCTCTCTCCTTTTCTTCATAGGCTGAAGATGCATGGACATATACGATTTTCGTTTTTTTGTCGGTGGCATCGAATGTTTGCAACCAGAAGCCGATCTGTCTACTGACTTGGAGTCATCATCGAATTTATCGGGGCTTACGTGCTACAAATAAACAGAGGGTTCAGTAATCAATAGGCTTTGTAATTTTTTGTTCTCTTCTCACCCTTGATTTTTTCGGCTCATCTTCATCGCTGCTGATGTTTATCAACTCCTGCGCGTCACTTCTAGACCTGAAAGCCAAAAAATGTTATACACAATCTGACAACAATATAACAATATTAAGCAATACCCTTTTGCCTGACCACTTCTATTGACCATCGCTTGAATGGAGTTCATGTAACCATGGTTCTGAGTCGAATTCGGTGTACTAGACTGCAAAAAACAAAAATCAGATAAACTTCAAAATATTTATATTGGATATTTGGATAATATATTTTTAAATATTTATATATACATTACATACATACATTATTTGTTACAAAAGCTACTAATATTTCATAAATGTGAATCTTTTTAAAATCTAAATGGAATTCATAAACAAATATACAACTATGATTACAATTATGTGGGTGAACATGGATTTTTTCATGTAAAAAAGCTACAAATTATTACACAAAATAATTTTATGTATTTCAGCAGGTCCCAATCAAGTTAATCTACTATTCCAATATTGTTATCAGTCTACTGTACATATATGTACATTACATGTTTAGGTAAACAAATTATGTACATTCCATAAATATTGCTCCCATTATCTTTACGAAGATGTCTTCCAAATTTACCTTTTCTTTCCATTTACTGACAAGCTGAATTGTAAGAATTCAGGAGGACTTAAATTGAATTGGCTCCTGGGCCGCTGAAAACAGAGAACTCCCAGGCTAATGTTTTTTTATACGCATTCCCTTATCTTTTATCCTCCATTTACCAACACACAATCTCTTTTTCTTTTTTACACAGTAACTTCACACTACCTTCCATATATATGATCTAACAACCTTTAGTTCTTTTATAATGTCGTACTTGTTCTCGCCCTTCTGATCTCTTATCCCCCAAAACACAGACTACTGCCTTAGGTTGTTTTTACCTCATCTGTTCACCCATGCTATGAAATTACCTTCCTCACTCTATCCACCACACAATGTCCTTTCTATCTTTAATTCCTGTCTATTTGATCACCACTTGTCATTGCAACTTAGTACCAATTGCAAAAATTAGTAAGGCTCTACAAATTTTATCCTTTCTTTATCATCCTAAGCTAAAATGCTTAAAAAAGTGGAAGTCTGTAGGCGAGAGATGAATAAAGAGGGTGCAGTAAGGTTTCATAGCCTAAGTCCTTAAGTTTCTGCAGGGCTGACATTGCGACATGTGGCTTGGCGTTATCATGAAGACAGCCCCTTATGGTTTACCTGGACAAAGATATTGCAGTTTCCCGTACGTTTTGTCAATTTCTTGGTAATATTTCTCTGCTGTGTTTCAACATAATTCAGGAAATTATAGTGAATTATCTCAGCAGTACACCACCAAACAATCACCCTAACTTTTTTTTTGTGTGCAGATTTGGTTTCGGGAAGTGTTTTGGCCATTCAACGTTGTCCAACCACTGACCAGTACACCCCCTGTTATTGTACAGAATCCATTTCTCATCATGATGATTTGATCGAGAAATGGATCAACATAGAAATAGCGCAACAGAAGAGAATTGAAAATTTCCAAGTGTCAATTTCTTTGGGCTTTGGTTATTTTATGCAGTACCCACTTGTCGAGCTTCTTAACTGTACCAATTTGCTCCAGATGGTAAACAATGGTTGAGGGGTCAACACTACGCTCTTCCATAATTTCCTGTGTTGTCTTAGGTGAATTATCTTCAATCAATGTTTTGAGTTGGTCTTGCCCATAAAGGAAGGCCTACCACGACCTTCCCTATCTTCAAGATCAAAATCTCTGAAACCATAGCTGTGCCATGTATTCGCTAATTCTCCCCCCCCCAAACTGTTGATGTTATGCACGGTTTGAGCTGCACTTCGCCTAAGTATAAATTTGTACAAATAAATATGACAAAAATCTAGTCTGGACATATTTAATTTGGCAGGTCCTCGCTCTCATAAAATTAAGTATCAACTAAAATGTTTTGTATAAAAGATAAAAGTATTTATTATAAACCATAAATTAGATTTGAGGATTTAGCTTTGTTTACTTGGCAAACACCTGCAAAACTAAAACAAATTCTCAAAACCTGCATTAATTTTGTACCAACCCAAAATTAAATTATTTGTATTATTAAACTTAATTTTATTACAGTACATTTTTAGTTTAGTATATATTTTACAAACAGACAGTAAAGTCTATTCAGTTCAATTGTATCTTAACAATTACAATTATTAAGTAAGTTTACCATTGTGTCAATTAATTCTGTGTCGTCATCATCTTCAAATGGCCTAAGTCCAGTTTCGTACTCATTTTCATACGACTTGGCTTCCATTATCGTCCGCTTTATAATGTCAAAAGCTGAAAAATAATATAACTTTTGTTAACCAACATCTTGAATAATTAATTAATTGATTATGGCCATTATCTTGATTTTTAGCATGAGAGGCTTAAATATGTGAAGACGAATATAAAAGATAAATTTAAGAGTATGATCACAGGAGGAAGTGTTTTGGGATGTGCAACTTATAAGAAAATCAACCACTGAAATCAGGCCTACTAATTAGGTTCCTTGATGAAACTAGGACTCACCTGTGTGCTATAAGCACAGAATAGAGGATACAATAGCTCTTAAGGGTGCAGACCCTAAACACACCCTAAATGATACCTATATCTATATGTGGGTTTTGCACTCTTCTTAAGTCTTAGAATGTCATGTGGCCATGCTTTCCTTCAAATATTGAAGACTTCCTAAGGCTCATGTGTAAAAGACCGACAACTGCTGGAAGACGTTCCAACAGGAAAGTTGGTAGCCAAATGATGCTACTCAACAACCAACTGTACAACATTGAAAGGTGTTTGTAGCATCATGTAGCGCTGGCCTCAGCATACAATAAATGCAGTGACCATCTGAGTCAGGTTTGATTCAGCAAATGTAGATGTCACAGCAAAAGCACAAGAAACAAACACTTCATGATACCTGAGTATTAGGTGCTGACTGATGGCATAATGATGAATGATACTAGTGAGGTGCCAACTTAAACAAAATTATGGTTTTTGTAAAACTTGCTCACCTTTTAAAGCTGTAGCTCTAAACGCCGATCTGTTCCTCCTCGAATACTCTTTGTACATGTTCCTAAGGTGGGAGACCATGGCCTCTTTGTTGATAGCGTCTTGGATAATGTCATTGTCTTTACCCTCCAGGTACTGTCATGAAAGTGAGAGATAGCGTTGTTAGTTATAAAAGGGCAAATGTTAAAAGTCTTGATAATCTACCTTGTCAACACGACGGAAAAGTTGTATGTCACTGAAATAAGGGGCAGCGGGTTTTTTACTATATCGCTTCGGCGTCGTTGACATCCTCGGGATGTTTGTCAAAAATAGTTTTGCGCAGTCCGCATCCCAAAACCCGGTGTTTTGTGTCCTTTTTGGATCCAGGATGTCTTCTAATCAACACAAATTAAAAACAGGACTGTTCTCAGGAGAAATATATAGTAAAAGTGAAGTGTAAACTGAGGCCCACGTTTACTTGAAGCTTTATCCTAAGAAACTTATAACCATTTATAAAATATCCCGATACCATCGATGTCTACTTTCGAATGTGTAAGATGACACAGTTGACAATATTAAAATCTCAATTTTAAAAACTCTCTTTACTTCTGTTGAATACATTTTAATATATTTAGAGTTATTAAAGAATTATATATTAAATAAGAATTTTAATAATGAAACATAAGAGCCAAAATCGAACCCGTATCGATGTTTTCACCCGATTATGAGGCCTCAGACCGTCAGCCGTTGGAGCTGATGAAGGTACTGGTACTAGTCAATTATTGACCAAAGTAAAAACTGAAATTTGGTTTTAAGATAATTAAAAAAAGAAAAACATTAATTTTAAGAATTAAGGAGGAATATTTTAAACTAAATTTTTACAATAATGAGTCTTCTCAATGACATGTAAGTCCGAAAATATATAATGGTTTATTTTATTTATTTTTTAATCTCAGATTGTTTCCCTAAATTAGATTTTAAGGTTAATTTTTGTCCCTTTGTACATAAAAAGACCCAAAATTTTAAAATACATATAAAACGATTTTGATATTAATTTATCTACTCAATCTGACATTGTTTATTTATTTATTTTTTTATTCTTTTTTGTTATCTTTCAATATTTTATTACATTCTGCAATTTTTGATTACAATATGTAATTTGATGAATATAGATATATTTACAGCTATTTATGTATTTACATTGAGGGAAGTAAATAAACAATATTATTATCCCAATTCACTTCACTAGATAACTTTAACGAGATTGTTCTATCGTATGTAGTAATTATAGTTGTGTATAAGTTTGTATTGAGAATGAATGTATTTATTAGCGTGAATGTGTGACATGAGAGGTCTGTGGTGGAATATTGAGTAGCCCATCGACCCTCAAATAGTTTAGTTGCATAATATGTTTAAAGGTTGTGTTCAGAGTGAATGTATTTATTAGCGTGAGTGCATTTAAGAATGAAAGTGAGTAGGAATGGTTACTGCATGCTGCTGAATTGATGCACCCCCCTTTCCCCGGAGCCAAACTAGATAAACTTCACTGCCTATTCCTTAGAAAGGAGTTGCTGGGATATGTCCTCCTGAGAAGCCTTATGGGATTGTAAGGATGGGTTTTGTTGGACAAGGCTTCGGCTAGACTATTGGGGTGGTGAGGGGGATTATTATGGGACTTGATAAATCTTTGGAGCATTATATTTTGAATAAATGTGATTTTAAGGTCGTTGTAGAGGGCAGTATTGGAGACTTAATACGGAGAATTTATAAGTGGTCTGAGGACTTTAGATTGACTTTAGACTTTAGATTAGAAAGGATTGGAGACGCTGGATATTTTAAGGCTTAGCGGTTCCCCACAACTCTATTCCGTATGTCCAAAACGGTTGTAGCATTTTGTACATTGTAAATTTGTTTTTCCTCGATAGCCTTGTCGTCCTCTAAGTTGGTAGAGTAGGCTGTGGTTTAGGCCTTGCCGTTTCAGACATACGTTTTTTTTTTCGTTTTTTTTTTTCATCCATCCCTAACCAGCAAGGGCTATCATTGCCTTTCTGTAGCTATGTGTGCATATGTGTACAGTGGTGTGTGAGTGTGTGTATGTGGATTCGTATGTGTGTCAGTTCTGGGGAGCGCGTACAGCCAGCCGAATTTTGTTGCTTATGTTATTTGTGTGTTAATGTAGTGTTCTTGTTATATATAGTTGTATAGTTTTATTTTTTTAGATACCCGATGACTTTGTCAACCATTTGCTGCTTATCCTGTAGGAGTTGTTTAAGTGGAAGGTGTAAGGAAGATGTGTAAAACCGTTGGCAGTTCCTTGGGGGGCACAAGATGTGTTCGATGGTTAGGCGTTCACCACATAGACAGACAGGAGGGTCAGTACCTTCCATCAAGAACCCGTGTGTTATTCTTGTGTGTCCAATTCTGAGTCGGCAGATGATAACTTCTTCCCTCCTATTCGTTTGATAGGAAGTTTCCCAGGGGTGAATGCTGTCTTTTATCTTTTTTAGTTTGTTGTCTCCAATATTCAACCATTCAGATTCCCATTTTTTTAATATCTCTCTTCTGAAGGTTGAAACGAGATCCTTTGCACACACGGGCTGCTCAGATTCAGGTAAGCGCAGGGCTGTTTTAGCGGCAACGTCTGCCCGTTCGTCATACGTGCTTATTCCACTTGAGTCTTGGTGGAACCCAAGGTAGGGTACGCAGTCGGATTTGGGGATAGGAACGTTGTTGTAGTACATTGTGTGAGGAGATTTGCTTCGGAATATAAATGTGACATGTACGCATTACCTTCATTTTCCATCGTCTATACCGATCTTCTTTCCAAGTGATATGCCTCTGCGGATCTTTTGAAGCAACCATAGGATCGGGGTTAGATGATAGTACAGACGTATCATCGGAAAAATGCAATAAGGGGAGAAGGTTTGCATTTTTTTTTTTTACATCTGCAGTATAAAGGATATTGAAGGGTGGTCCGAGCCCACTGCCCTTTGGTACCCCGCGGCTTGAGAGCAGTATTCGACTAGTCCTTGTCTGGTTCGAAAGATTAAAGAAGTTTAATTTAATGTTTATAGATATATTCTATGACGTTAGAAAGAATATATAATAACAATATATAATATATTTAACAACCGTTTTTGCAGTATTCATGTTTTAGTCATATCGGCGTCCGCTGACTTCCAGAAATGAGCTACCTCACTCCAACAAATATTCCGAATGAAACAATTTCTGTGGCTGTGATGGTGGTATGAGCACATGTTGAACTGATCGATACTATTTTCTCACTGAAAATAGCGTGAGCGGAAACGCGAATGAAACGAAAACCAGCGAGAGTAACGGGACTCGGAGTGATACCTTTTTTAAAATTTTATATTATTTTTATAATATTAATTTTTTTAAAGACTTTATTTGTAATTTGATATTTTATTCGGCCAATGTGAAATTATTTAATCAAAAAACTTCGTTGGTCAATGGTATATGATCTCGCAAATTTATAAATTTAATATCAGGATTTTAGGGGGTTAAACGTTAAAAGATTTAAAATTAGAGAAATGACACAAGATAATTTCGCCACATGTGGCTGGCAATGTACCATTAGAAAAATAATTGCACGTAGATTTAAAAAATTAAGTTCAATATTTTTACATAATATTTGTTAAAAAGCAATTTTTTTAAATGTGCATATCAATTTTTAATCATTGATAAATCCTTTTGGGTATTTGACCATTGAATTACTATTTTGCCATGTTATGTTGTCAGCCGAGTTCTTTTACATTCATATTCTTGTAAGGACGAAAGTCAATTTTGTAACTCTTCGAAACGTCTCCTAAATCTTTTAAAAAATATTTAAAATTACCAGTTTTTAAGAAATATAATACTTCTTGTGTAATATTTTAGTTTATTTGTCTACATTATGTTACATAATATTGTTTTAATGCTTTTAGTCGTTTATAAGCGTTGGTGTTTTGTCACTGTTCATTTGTTATGTTGCGACGTTCGAAGATGTTGTTATCCTATGCTCACGGATGCTATTGTTCTTAATTGTCGTTAGTGGCTATTATGCTGCTTCACATCGGATAGACGTCCAACCGTGCTTCTGTGTCTTTACATGTTGTTAAATCTCATTTCTGTTGTTTGTTTTGATTTTCTTTCAAAGACATGATGACAACCTATTAAAGATTGGCAAGAATTCTATGGCAGAAATCACAGGGAAAAACAAAGGAGCTGCTATTAACTTCTCGAGGAGATCAAAAATTCCATTACTGCGGACTGCTTCATGAGAATGAAATGGACAAATCGTTTTATATTCCTCTTTGATAGAGGACATTTGTAGAAGTTAGTTGTTTTTTTCTTAAAGACTTCACAAAAGAATATTGGATTCTGACCAGAGACACCTCCTATGCTAATGTATTTTTCTTGAACTTTTGTACTTCTTACTACAAATCTTGGTGCTCAATGGAAAGTGAAACTATTTCCCATTACATAAGTATGTTTTACGATTTATAACTCGAATTTTGTCGCCTGTTAAGCTATCGGATATATAGAATGAGCAGGGTTAGAGCATGTCCGCTGTCATTGACCTTCCATATTAGACTTAATTTATGATTCAACAGTTGGGCTTCTTGAAAGATATCGGCTTGTATATCCGTGTTATAATTATTTGGTTTTGTCCGATAATTCCTGTCGTATCTTTTGCCTGTTCACATAATATCCTTTTCTTGATAACATTGATTTACCTCAGACCAGTAGTTAAGCAGTAAATTATGTGTGTAGCCTCACCTTCATACATTTATTGTTTCATAAACTTTTTAAGAAATAGAATAAATATACATTTATTTATTTTTTTGGGGGGAGGACTCGGTTATCCGTCGAGCCATACAGGTTGGGATCCTGGTAATGTCAACAGCTATGCCATTTAAACACCCCACGCAATCATTTCCTAAATACAAACCCATTTATTCTTAAGTACATTCTTCTTTTTTACATTTTTATTACATATCATTCATTCAATGGTGGTAGTAATCGGTATTCCACCATCACCTATCGTAAACTATCCTAATTGATGGTCGATGGGTAATCAATATTCCGCTATCAGCCCTCTTACACTACGCATTCAAGCAAATAAATACATTCACTTTCAACACACGCTAGGGACACAAAAATATCAGTACTGCACATAATAAAACAACTCTGTTTCCTCCAAGCATCAGAACGGGGTACCCAGATACTCGCTGCCGTGGTTAATCACGATCGTATTGTGGCATTCCTACACGCTCTCCGTAAGGAGCAAAGGAGTTGCACCGTTTAAATTTTGTCGTACTTTCGAGGAATATACTCTTCATCAAGACTTTTGTACTAATTCTGAAGATTTTGTCGTTATTAATTAATTAGTAGTTCTCAAGCCTTAATATTATAACTAGAAATGTGTGGTGATTAGTGACCATTAATCGATGATTATTCAGAAATCGTGAGATGCGGTCTGGTGTGATGTAGGTTTCAGAAAAACATTTTCTTTATCGTGCCAACGTTTCGATCTTTATTGAGACCGTCTTCAGGGCCTGGGATGTACAAACATTGTTTAAATTTTTTCCACATCCTACATGTATTTGTTAAATTTAAACAATGTTTGTAAATCCCAGGCCCTGAAGATGATCTTAATAAAGATCGAAACGTTGGCACGATAAAGAAAATGTTTTTCTGAAACCTACATCTCACCAGACCGCATCTCACGATTTCTGAATAATTATAACTAGAGTTGATATATGAGTTATAAGGCGAATTTCAAAGAAAGAAAAAGCACAATTCTTTCGGCAAGCTTTCGAGGAATATATCCTCCTCATCAGGGACTTTTATATAATTTCTAATGAATTAATAATCATTCATATTTTATAAGTCATTCAAGCCTTAATATTATAATTATATTTAAAAGATCAGGGATGATACGTATTTGAAAAAAAGAAAAACATGGCTTGTAATGAATAGACTAATTAATTTTGTGAATTAATGACTAGTAAATCATTAGAAATAGTTTCAAAGTGTGATGAAGGATACATTTCTCGAAAAATTGAGGAAAGAAACAGAAGAAGAAGGTTTTTTTCAAATTCGCTTCATCCGTTTTTTCATAATTTTTTGTATATAATTACGACATTATCAATAACATCAAGATAATTTCCTATAAAATGTAATAGTTCTTATGTATTATTTTCCCCCCTAGGTTTGTTAAACAATCGTGTTGCTGTTATAAAACCATAAATCATGTTCTTCTGTTATGTTCATGAAAATTTATTCATAATTTTACGCACAAGAATTGCTTTGTGTCATATTCAGATTGGTCTAGTTTATTTATTTGTTTTATTTGTTAAGTTGAAAGATGCAAATATTTTGGGTAAATTTAAGTCAGAAGATAAGTTTTTATTCATTACAATGAAACAACACAGACAAGTGAGCAGGATTATTAAGTGTGAATGAAATTATAATGCTTATGTAAAGTTATAATACTTATATCATTATCTTATTATAGTCAATAGATGTCATAGAAATTCTTTATATGTCAGTGATTTATCCATTACGGTGAAGCACAAGGAGCTTCGGGCCTCCGGACAAATTATCGCATTTATTAAATGCCGCTTTGTTCAAGCCCCTATCTTTTGAGCAAAGTTCCATTTGAGATTTATTTAGAGAAAAGTATTTTTCCAGGCACATACTTAACAATAAATTTAGTATAAAATTTGTGATTTATAAACAGAAATATCTGGTCGATCCAAATTCGTTTTGCTCTCTCTGCAATCAGGCCGAAAAGAAGCACATTGAACTTTTTTTTAAATTGTATTGATTATGAGCCACTTCGAATGGCTATCTTAAATAATAATACTAATTTGGGCCAATCTATTATTAAAATAGGAATTTAATTTTATGAAAAATGCAGAACAAATTAAACAATGGCTCTTTCAAGCAACTAAACTCTCAAACAGAATAATTCAAGAAATTTAAACAATACATTAGTCACAACTCCATATTCCATTTAAACTAAAGTTATAATAATTTGTCAAATATGCGTTTTACGTTAAAAATTTAATATATATAATTGAGGCAAATAGCCTTAATATAGGTTATTTCTCTAGCTCTAGGGGAGCACCAGATTTTTATTCATAATGTTTTTGACGCAAAATAATTATAGCTTTATTATTTAATTATGATTTTATCTATTTTATATATTAATGTTTGTAATCATCTGCTGGTATCAAATAAATAAAATTGGTAGAAAAGAAACGTCATTAAACGGTAGTGTTTTGCTACATAATACATAAGAAAAAAGGCAATAAATTTAGTTCAAATTAAGAATCGCTTGTTATTAACTTTTTATGTGTAAAATATAGTTTTTTCTTGTTGTGTATACTTAATTTACAAAGAAGCTTTGTAGAAAAATTGTTATTCGGATTGAACGATTTTGATATCTAAGAAATGGGATATCACGGAAGTACTGCTGAAATAACAGCTGAGACTTAAGTATAATATGGTGTATCATTTTTTTTGTTATCAACGGAGTTAGCTAAGTTTGACAACAGAATTGAAAAATTATTCCAACTGTGCTTGTCTGTGGTTTGTAAATGTATAAGTGCCTAGACAAATGTTTTAAGAGATGTGACGATTTACTCTTAATATAGTCATATTCGGTACGATTTTCGGAACTATTCAGACCCTCTGCTGTTGTGCTTGATTTGGAAATTTAAAAAAAGGGGTAGTGGAACGTTATAATCCAGAATTGGATTGCGAACCCAGGACTCCCCACTCGCGAATATCAGCCGTGATAATATCGCGCAGCCTCCCTCAGAGTGTCGGCCGCAGCGTTTCTCTGCGATAAAGTGTTTATTTATCTCTTCAAGTGCTCTTTCGGTACTCTGCCCATTGCAGTATAAATAGCTGCAACTGATCGTGGGGGTGTTAATCTGGCAAACTACCGGCATGTGTCACCTCGCCTTCTTCGTCGTTTTAGCTTCGTTCCTGTCAGGTAAAAAAAAATCTCTTGTTTAGAGAGATTTAGAATTTGAAAAAATTACATTTGCTTTTTGTTTTTTTTAAATAATAAAGTGTTACTTTTGATGGGAAAGGGGCGGAAACACCACCATTCGTCCTCTGTTACTCGTTGAAAGTCAATTAGTTTATCAAATTGATTCTTATTATGCCTTCATCCGCTCTGGCTCGTTAATCTTTTATAAAATAATTTTTCTTCTAAGGGCTCCCACAACCTTGATTGTACAACTGAAACAAAATTATGCTGATAATTTAAAAATAAACAAAAATTAAATTAAAAATCATAAAAATTCAAGCATTGAACAATGAAAATTTGTATTATACAATATATATAAACAGAAAAAAATCTCTTTAAATCAACATAATGATAAAGTATAGAAAACAACCTACATTTTTTTAAAAGTTTGTGTAGACCATGGCTTAGTAACTTAGTGCAGGTACTTCACCTCCATTCTTCAGAATGACGAATTTCTTTAAACTATGGGGACTAGCCAGGTGATAAAATTTCCATTTTGAAATTGTTCAATACGAATCATTTTGTACCCCCCCCCCTGTAAAAATAACTTCCGAAAATAATAATGTTCCGATAATGATGAAATGTATCTACGTTTTGAATAAATCTTTGATCGACAGCTGATTCTCCATGTTCAGCACTCTGTACCCTTGCTAATGTTTGCACAATGTTAAAAAAAATAAATAAACTTAAAAAACTCAACTGATACAACTGATAAACTTACGTGAATGATTTTGGCACATCTCAATCACTGACGCTTCGAATAAATTTTCTTGTAAAATTTTCTCAATTTTAAAAACAAGGACAAATTTTAAACATTTCTTTTTTAGTACCATGTTAAATGGTTCTCTTGACTGAATTTTGTTTTAAAGATACAATTTGTACATATATACAATACAATTTGCTATCTATTAAAAATGGTATTATATAACATTAATAATATTCGCAAAATACAGATAAGAACAGTTAAAATTCATAAAATTCATTGCTTACAGAATAGCTATATCACTTAAAGGAATCTCAAATCGATAAAACTCGGGTTTATTTTGATCCCACATTTGCATAGTTGTCAAACCGTTTTTGTCAAATTTTCACTCAAACTTCACTTCCATTGCATTCAGTTTGTTTCTTGTGTTTCAGACGCGTTGTGCAATGGGCAAGTTAGTTATGACCAACACGGAACAGGTACGTAGATCTCGGTTGTGTTCCAACCCTTTTAATTTTGAAGAATTGCTTACTAAAACATTCCACCCTGTGAAATAGTTGAAACACCTTGTGCGAGAGAGAGAAAAAAAGATTGGCTAAATAAATTATGAAGGACCCAACAATTTACTGTTTATCCACTTGACCAACAGGATTAACGGACAAAACGAATGTTCAGCGCTGCCGCAAAGTGCATACTAAACTATGGAAGAATTAATTTAAGGGTTGTGGTTTATTATAGATCAATGAAAAAATAGGGTATACATGATTAAACATAGTGTAAGTTTAACATTCCTAGTACAAAATATAGCAGATTATGCTAGTATATTAAATTGTAATTCGATCTGTACAAGGCCTGCTGGACTGGCCTATCAGACGCGTTTCGTCTTCTCGCCTTCAGTGATGGGTCAGCGCGCTTTTCGTTAATTAATAAATGCATAAAAATAGAAAGAAAGACCGAAAGTGAGAGAGAAAGATAGATAGATAGAGAGAGTGAGAGAGAGAGAGAGAGAGAAAGAGAGACAGTAAAAGAGCAAAAGAATTGGAAAGGGAGAGAGAGAGAGAGAGTGAGAGAGAGTGAGATAGATAGGTAGAGAGAGAGAGAGAGAGAGAGGGAGAGAGTGAGAGAGAGCGTGTGAGAAAGAGAAAGAGTAAAGAGCGAGAGAAAGAGACAGCAAAAGAGCAAAAGAATTGGAAAGGGAGAGACAGAAAAAGAGCAAAAGANGAGAATGAGAGAGAGACACTTAATACTTTTATTTGAAATAATTTATCTTATCTTTATCTTATAATTTATCTCTTTATATACGAGAAGAGAAAGATATAAAGAAACGGCAGAAAAAGAATGGAACCCAAAATATTTAAAATACTTAAGGTCGCTATTTTTTAAGATTTGATTACCTTTATTTTATTACCACGTTAGTTTCAACCCTTCCAACTCAAAACCATTCAAGAAGGATGGATCTTACTTTGTCTATTTACTATTATTTTTTTTTAATATTGTATTATATACTATATATATAATATATATATTATATATAATTTATATACTAATTAATTCGTTCTTTAGTACAACTAAATATTATAATTTTTCTTGCAACATGGTACCTAGATTTATGTATAAAAATTAGCACTCACATATTTTCACCATTTGGATACGTATACTAACCTAACCCGAAACTAAACCTACCTAACCCATTCCGCCCCTTACTTTAACCCGTACCTAACCCAACTTGTCCCACTTCTAATCCTAAACCACTCAACTTAACCTAACTATAAGCAAATTCGAAGACGCGAAAAAAGGACATGCAAAAAAAGTGTGTATCCAGGGCAAAAACATATTTATTATAATTTAATTTTGCAACATTTATTATCATTTAATTTTTGCTACTTCTGTTAGGAGGTACTAATATTTATATTGATAGAAAGCAGGCTGTGATGCTCCTGATGATCCGTGTGATGGAGAGTAACAAATTCCTTTGATAACTATGCACGAATTTTTTTTTTTTTTTTTCCAGCCAGAAAACCAGAAAACTGTACTGTTTATTGTGCGTATACATGTATGCGAAATAAATTTGAATTATTATCATTTGCATATATATTTGATACAGTACACATCAGTCTTGAAGTATTTTAAATTTACTTTAATTAAAATTTTTTGAAAATGCAAATTTATTTTTTCAGACTGGGGTGGTACGTGTAGTCGGGGGAAGCGTCAGTCTCCAATTCCATTTAGCAGGGTTGTAAAGAATTACGATCCAGAGTCTCAGGTTCCATTTACCATCAATTACAAAAATTCAATAGTTTCCATTCAGCCAAACGATCATTCTGGTAAGTCATGGTATATATATTTTTAGTATGAACTTGTATATATGTAAAACAAACAAACGTTTATAGATAAAACGGCTTAACTGTTAAAATGGTAATTTCTAAATCATTAAATCTAAATGATATTTGGCACCCCATGTAACTCGCTAATTCAAGAAAAAAGATCCTTCAAGGTTTGATTTTGATTGTTACAAGATTCACCTTTGCTATAAATGTCCGGCTGGCAACGTTTTGATCGTGACACTGTTCGTGATAACAGAGACAATAAATACCATAAAAGTAAAAAAAAAGGTCCTGGTTTGATTGATTCTAGTCGGATTTTCTAGATCTTAACAAATTTTAAAATTCATCGGTTCTATTGTGACAGGAAAACTGACGATTTTTTAAAATATAAATTGTTCTTTGTTTAGGCGAAAACTGACGCTACTTGGTTTTTAAAGGGAATGCGAAAACTTCTGCTATGTATCACGGTCTCGCTTTAATGCCGACAGAAGAAGGAAGTTAATTAGTATTATTTTCTGTTTAAAAAATTGCCCCAATTTTCTTGTGTTTGTAAAACTTCTAAGACCTAAAAGAAACAACTCTCGTTTTTTTAATCGGGACATAAACCCATCCTTGACCCTAGACGTGATTATTTCATAAACTAATTGTGCGATAAATAAATTCACTGTCAGACCATAAATTTAAGTAATTTGCACTGACTTTCTATGGTTTTCTTGAAAAATAAGTAAAGAGTCTGTTGAAGTACAAATATCACTATTGTTATTTCATGTATCAATGATAATATATCATCAGAGGAAATGGATAAACTTTTTAGTGATATTATAATATTATATCAGTACTGGTGATAAGATTATTTAAATTTAATATACTAAAGCAATTGTTTATTGTAAATAAAGAAGATTAAATCGTATTGAAAGTTATTCGCAGATTAGCTCTTAAATTTGATTGCCACTGTCACCGAGAACGAAAATGTTGCCAAATCTATATTTAAATTTCTACTTTAACGTTATAATTTATATTTTATCGTTTTTGCTTGTGAAGTGTCGCTATTTTGATTATATTGGCTTCAAACGAACAAAAACATTTCTATACAAATCGTAAATTACTGGCAAATTTTATCTGTTTTGTTTTTTCCCTTTTGAACTATTTTAGCCAGAACTATAAATTGAAAGGATAGAAGGTTAGATATAATATATTAAAGGCCTTATTATAAATCATGGTAATGCTTTTCCTAATCACAAAATGCCGCTTTTTTCCATTTTTTATAGCGCGTGTATATCTATGAATGTTATTGAATATACTTTTTGATTTACAGTTTTTATTTCCATAGCTATCTTCAGTGCAGGGCATTATTGCACTTTTTCACTTATCCTGTATTACATATAAGAAGCATTTTATCTTTATATATATATATAT